CTTCCTTACATCCTTACTTTACTTGCTTTCTAACCCTTCGTAGAAGTCACTTCTAAGGCTTTCTGCCTGACTTTAATTACCTTAGACCCATTATAATCACTTATCCTGAACAAATGGCTAGTCCCACATAGGCCCATACCATTTCAATTCCATAAACTGGCTTCCCAATTGTGATTTCAACAAAACTGCATTCAGATGGGGCATAACAGATAAAGTCTAAGGACTTACATAGTGGGAAAAAAGAACTGACAACCACAATGTAATTTTTAAAAAAACACATTGGGGGATGTTCTTGGAATGTGAAAAATACCTAAGGAATTAAATATTTGAAGTATTCATTTATGTAACATTGGCTGCCTAACTACAAATCAATCAATATACAGTAACATTAACCCTGTAATACTATTTTTCATGTCAATAGCTCATGAACACTTTGTGCTTTGTCTTCCCATAGCTTGTCTAAATTTTAAAAAAACTACATAGTAATACCCGATACCAAAACAAAGGGTCCCTTTGTGTAAACACGCGCTGTGTATGTGGTACTTACGACAGCCTGCCTCATCAGAGTTATCTTTGCAGTCATAAACACCATCACAGCGATATCTGCTGCCAATGCACGCACTGCCATCAGCACACTTGAATTGGGAACTTGTGCAGTTTAACACTAAAAAGGGAAAAAGCACAGTGTTTGAAAATAACTCCAAGATAAACAGAGCACACCGGAAAGTAAAGCCATCCACTTACCGCAACCTGCCTCATCAGATCCATCAACACAGTCCTTGTCCCCATCACAGACATAAAACGGACTGATACAGCGGTGGTCGGGGCAACGAAACTGTGTAGGTTGGCACGTCCCTGAAGCTTCTAATGATGTACAAAAACAAAGCCAAGTTAATTCCGCTCAAGAACTTCTCTCAGTTCTATGTGCTCAGCTTCTTCAGATCAGCCACAATGTCAAAGTCAGCACAGTAAGAGAACTCAAAATGAGGGTTTGGAATAAGAAGACTCCAGGGCAGAGCCAATGTTGGAAAACAGAAGACACTGATCATGGAATCACCAGGTGTCTAGCCTGGTGCTGTTTCTCATGAGTCTGTGGCTCTACCAAATCCGAGCAACATGGTCAGCCTACCACATGCCAAGCAGCAACAACGCTGGATGCCCCATCCACTCCATAAAGTGAATGAAAAACGCGGGCTCCTAGAATCTCCTCCAAGAGGAAAGTGAATCACCTAATCTGCAAGCAATCCGAGAATTTAGTTTGAGAACTCTGCTGCATCTTATTATTATCACTCATAACATTGAGATTTAAAAAGGGGGCTATGCCTTTGTTCTGTATTAAATGAAAATATGGAAAGAAAATCAGCCAGATGTCTGATACTTGATAAAATGTTTGAATTTTAAAAAACACACATATGTGTGACGTGTTCATACATATGCATGACCATATATGCATGTGTAAAGAGCACACTCGTGTATGCATGAATGTGCTCATATACGTGTACTCATGCATGCGATAGCCAAAGGTTGGTGTCATCCTCCATTGAGTGTCATCCTGCTTTCTCTTCCCTTTATTTACTGAAGCAGTTTCTCTTGCCTCCCTCACAGCAGAGATTATGGGTACCACCGCATACAGCTCAGGTTTGTTTGTTTGTTTGTTTGTTTGTTTGTTCCTCTGGATGTAGGACATATGTGTTGTGCTTTGATGAGGTTCAGTACCTTTAGGAGAAACATCCAACATGTACCAGAGTACTGATCCAGAGGTTGGCAAGAAAAACAGAATTTTAAGAATTCAAAGCCTATTGATTATTCAAATCAACTAGGAGAAAGCACCTCAAAACTCACCGCAGTTCTTTTCATCTGATCCGTCCAAACAATCATTGTCTGTGTCACAGACCCAGTTTCTGGGGATACACATGTGATTGTCACAGGTGAAAGAGGTGGATGGGCATGAATAAGGTGCACTCGTGGGGCAGTTTTGCTCATCACTGCCATCTATACAGTCATTGTGTTTGTCACAACACCACTGGCTAGGGATACACTGTCCACCATGGACACAGGTGAAAGCTGAAGGTGAACAAGTATTATCTACAAAAAATAAATAAATAAAAGTAAAAAAACCACAAAGGGGTCATGACAATGTTTGCTTTTACAATTTTTTAAATTGTTCCTATAAAGACCAAGCTCTTTTCACCTTTCATCAATACCACTTTACACAAAGTAAAGAGAATGTGAGAGTGGTTATGTTTGCTGATTACCAAGCATAGTATATGCATCTATCATATATATACATACAAAATATCCTCTCTCAACCATCCAAAGAATATTATGATGTAGTTAAATTATCTTAAACTAGACTTTGAGAGATATGGGAAGACTCAAACTCTAGTTGGTATAATTCTAGTCTCATAGGTACCTTCCTCAAATGATAATCTCAGGAAAATGTACAACTTTTCAAAGAGCCTTTCTAAAACCTCCAGTTATTACTACTACTGGCCTCATTTTAATATATGTTTCTTAAGACCTCAATTGTCCGTTTTTTAATGGGACTCTTGGGTGGTGTGGAATAATCTTTTTGAACACTGAAAAAGTGTCACACAGATTACTTAAATAAAAAGCTGAATGGCCAATATCTAGGCAGGCTTCCAGGCACAGAGGATGCAGGGAAGAAGTGTGGACAGAAGTGGGAGGTAAATGAGCCTTGGGGCAACACATAGATTATTAGAAATGAGTTAATATAAATTATAAGTGCTACCTAAAAACAAGCCTAAACTTGTCGTGATTTGGGAGCTGGCTGGTGGGACACTTGAGTCTTCTACAGTGGTAATTAGGACTGAAACATCATGGATTAAAATGCAATCAAAAGTGTGTAGAGATGGAGACCCATTCTACTTCAACACATTTCACTCCAAAAAAGGGGGATAAAACACACATAGGACATGATGTTTTCTAAGGCTGCAGTTGCAAGTACCTATGATACTATTCTCTCCAGGGCCCTCTTCATGCCTAGAACAGACTGAGCCCTATCCTTAGCCCTAATTTGACTTTCTGAAGAACTTATCAAATGAACTAATATCAAAAGGAACTTATTGACCTGTAACATTACCTGTGAATCATGCACAGTGCTTAACTTCCTGTGAGTCTTTGAGGGGAATGTTATGAATCTTATATTTTTGGTTGTGAGTCTAGCTTTTACCAGCTGAGCCATCTCTCCAGCCCATGCTTGTTATGAATCTTATACTCTAAAAATACCTTAGTGATATTTTCCCATGCACACAGTCCATGCTTTTATATGACACCTCTGCTCTTTTCTCCTCCAGCACACAGATACTTACTAAACGCTCCACACTGATGTTCATCACTGTTATCATGACAGTCATCCATGCCATCACAGCGGAAGGAACTGGGCACACACTTGCCATTGTCGCAGGCAAAGGAGAAGGAGCCACACTGCTCTGTGGGTGGCTCACTGGCTGGATCTCCCTCGCATGTTCTTTGATCCCTCTGAAGCTTCATTCCATAAGGGCATCCACACACCCTCTGGAAGTTCGGTACTGGGTAGCAGAAGTGGCTGCAGTCTCCGTTGGGATGGGTGGGCTCCCTGCAGTAGTTAGACCCTGAAAATGCAAAATAGACTAGATCCAAACTATGATTTGTGCAGGGAAATCAGAAAGAGAGGGGGGGGAGGAAGGAAGGAGGGAAGGAAGGAAGGAAGGAAGGAAGGAAGGAAGGAAGGAAGGAAGGAAGGAAGAAAGAAAGGAAGGAAGGAAGGAACCATTCCAGACCCAACAGTTGGAAATCAGCGCACCAAAGACAGCATTCCATTTAAATATAGAAAAGTACTAAGATGTGTATTTCCAAGAAGCCAAACTCTTGCCATGTTAAACTATGTGGCTGATGGGAATATAGCACTATGTTGATGAAATAGTAGAAGAGAAAGGAGCCATCAAGTCAGATAAGTATGGAGAATACTGTCCTCACCAGTCTGGAGGTCAACGTCATATGCTTTCACGTGCATTATGCTTTCAATGCCACTTCGAATAACTGTCATGTCACCGCCATCCGATTTCCTGACCCGAATAAGAGCACCCAGTCTCCAGTCTGTTAAAAACAGATTATCTGAGGAGGAAAAAAAAGATTGGTATTTCAGTCACAGTTTGAGGAAATGCAATAGGCTTACATGAATGCAATGGTTCAAGAAACCATCTGTCATCTGTAACCATTTGGTCTGGAAGTCCATATTTTATTGATATGATAGCTCAGGTGAAGGCAGATGCGTAATGGCATTTCATAGTAATTGGGTTTAAATGTCTATAGATAAAAATGTCTATAGATAAAAAAAGAATCTTAAGGCTGAGTTCTTAGCCTGTGTTTGCATGAGAATAATTACTACTTGGTAGGGCCAATTTTAATAGGAAGTTTTTAAGGAAAAGTATAGATCTCATTCCCAAAAAAGGAAAAATATCAGGCTGGGCAGTGATGGTGGTACATGCCTTTGGTCCCAGCACTCAAGAGGCAGAGGAGGATCTCTGTGAGTTCGATGCGAGCCTGGTCTACAGAGTGAGTTCGAGAAAAACCAAGAAAATAAAATACCAACAATCCTAATAATTTACATTTCAGCAATGATTTCCATTGCAATGCAATTCCAATGCAAGACTGTAACATACAAATAACATACTTACAATGTCACCCCTGTTATAAAATCAAGTTTTCTCATCTGTGATCCACACTAGTGGGTTATTGAAACCACTAAATCTTATCTCCCTGTATTGCAAATTTCAGTTTCTATCTCATTGTATTGAAATAGCTAAGTCCTGTGCAGTATACACTCAAAAAAAAAAAAAAAAAAAAAAAAAAGACTAGCTGGTCTTTCACTAAAAGATTAATGATTTGCATAGTGTTGTGAAATAAAAGAACATCCACACCAAATTTATAATGAGGCTAGGCAAGGTGACATTCATATATTTCTGAGACTGAGGTAGAAGCATTAAGGGTTTGATTGAGTGAGCCTAGGCTATTTAGGAAATTTAATTTTCAAAGAAAAAGAAAGAAAAAAGGAGAAGTTTACAGCACAAGTCAGAACTGATAGAAACCAATATTATTTGGGGAATATAGTATTATTCTCATGACTATGCACTCAATATTTTTCACAGTTAAACCAAAAGATGTCCAAACTTCCCAGCATATAACCAAAAGATTATCATTTTTAAATCTTCCTGTGTACTAATAACGTGTCTGATAATATTTGAAAGATGGAGTAAATACACAAAGGGGGACTATTTATAATTGACTCATCTCATCAAAAATATCAGAGCATTCTAAAAATACAACACACTCCATGGATAGACAGCAAGATGGAATATTCAGTATGACTAGCCACTCTAATTTGTCTAAGGCACTATGCTAAGTATTTGAGTAGGAGGTTTCTACAGGGACACAACTCGCTTAGTCACGGGGCTTTTGGTAGCTCAATACCTAAGGTAACAAATTACAGTTGATCACGTATAGCCAGGATAGATTTCAATCTCTTCTCTTTCTCTTGGCCTAGCACTTTGGGTAGACGTTGTTCATTTTTTTGGGGGCAAGGTCTCACTATTCAGTTGATGTTGATTTTGAACTTGCTCTGTAGCCCAAGTTGGCCTCATAATTCTCCTACTGCAGCACTCTGAACATGCGGATAACAGCACCATGAAATCAGGGTTAGCATTTGTGTGCCATGCACAAGCTACACAGAACCTCACTGCAGGAATAAACAAGCCACCTGTTTTATGTTGCATGGTCTTGCTCTGCAGGCTAGCAATGGCTTGAATATGTGGCCCAGGCCTCTTCTCCTGCTTCAGCCTTCAAAGCAAGTGTGTACCCCCAAGCCTGGCTCCCGAGATTACATTCTAATTCTCAGCAACTCAAGTCATAGATGTAAATCTCCACTGAAGAAGGTAGTTTGTCTACAATAATGGTGGCTATTGTTTCCCACAATTCCATGCCTCTCAGAAATCTTTACAGGCAATATATTGTATCGAAATATGAATGAAAAAACAATCATGTCTCTTATTCTTCATGAGTCATATTTTGGAGTGGTGATAGAGTTTTGCAGCAAAATATATTCCTGGAATGTGTAAGACTATTAGCCTAATTTTCAATTTCAAGTACAAAACATCACATGCCTTTTATTCCTCCAGAACATACCTTTAAAAATGGTGAGTCCAAATGGATGTGTCATCTGATCTATATGGCCCAGTCTTTTTCTATCTAAACCATCAAAGGTGCTGTGCTCAATTTTATCAAAAAAGGCATCTACCCAGTACAATCGTGAAGCACTAAAAGAAAAAAAAATGTTATCTAATACCAAGAAAGGAGCAGTGTCCTGAATACTGAGGATATTGGTAGTTGACTTTCCACTAAAACATTAGTTGTATGCTTCCACAAATACAGTAAACTTGGAACTTGAAATCTGCTTTCTTTCTAATAAACCAGAATATTGATGTTAACGTTTAAAAGACTGAATATACTTCTGCCCATAAACTACTTTAATAATATATATTCATAATCTCATCTGCCTTATTCCTAGATCTTGAGAACTCTTGAGAACCCCCCAAAGCATGTGTAAACAAATAGATACTAGTAGATTAATTCAGTATTCAAAATTCACTTACTAATTAATTATTATCCTTAAGCTGTCTAAGAAATTAAACACAATCTAGCTACGTTTCATCAGCTCCAGTAGCTGGAACTTCATCAATCTTGAACTGGCCAATTGTGTTTGGATTCAACATCCATCACCTATCACCTGTTAGTGACCAAAAAGTCTCAGAAAGCATTCAGTTCCCTTTTCCTTTTGTCTACAGTGTGTCCAGTATAATGGAACTGTTGTCCAGTATGCCCTTTCCTTGCTCTTCAGATGGCATCTACTTACCTCCAGTCAATGGCTAAGCCATTGGGCCACCCCAAACTACTGTTGACTATAGGCATTATGTGAGATCCATCACTCCATGCTCTCATAATTTTAGCTGGTCGTTGCCAGTCACTCCAGAATATAAACCTAGAAAGTGGGAACAAATCCAGGAACATTAGAACAAACTGATAACTTACAATTGATTTTACTCTCCACACATTCGGTCAGATTTGGCATATTTAAATCTAAATATGTAAATATGTAATCACAGTCACAATTATAAATGGCATTAGAATGGGCATCCAGAACAAAGAATAACTAGACTTTAGGCCCTAAAAATTTTGTCATCCAAATAATCTTAAAAAAAAGAGTTTGTGCCAGGCATTGTGACACATGCCTTTAATCCCAACACTTGGAAGGCATCCTGGTCTACTTAGTGAGTTCCTACATAGTGAGCTACATAGTGAGAACCTGTCTCAAAAGACAAAATAAACAGTATTTGATTTGTTGGGTTTTTTATCTTTAAACCACCTACATAACCTAGGTGAGATTAAACATCCAGAACCCAATTAATTCTCAGTTCATTCTATAAGTTTACAAAAAAAAAATTCAAGGTTAGAGAGATGATTTAGGGATTAAGAGCGCTGGCTCGTGAGATCTGGAGTTCAAATCCTCTTCTAGCCTCTAGACCATTCAGAGGCATTCTCACCTGCACACACACTTATACAGGCACATACAACATAAGCAAGCACAAGCATGCCCACACACATACATACACACACACACACACTGAAATTAATCTAACTGGAAACAACAGCTTTTTCTTTTACTTTTGTGTAGGCAAGTTTTCTCTGTGTAGCCCTGCTGTCCTGGCACTCACTCTGTAGACCTCTACTTCCCAAGCACTGGCATGTACCACTAACCCCAGCTTCTTTATCTCTTCATACAACCTCTAGGAATCAAAACCAACTCTTTCAAATGTAACTTCTAAAATGTGATGGCTTCATATCATTTTTTAAAAAAGGAAACAAGAGCTTTTAAGATTTAGGTTATATACATTAGAAGAAACTCAATGGTTAGGGTTTATAAAGACGAACCACAGACTTTGTTGGGTGTTGGGGGGGGGGCACGTCCAGCCTGGCCTAGAGTTTGACAACAGATTTGGCCCTTCATAGGCCATTATACTTCATTTATTCACACACACAGAGTTGATATCTGGTGTGTCCCCCTCCCCCCATGAGAGAACCTGGCTTTGATGATTCACAAGACATTCAAATGCAACTAAATATCAAAGGCTTGCTCTGCATGAGCTACTGGACATGCCCAAATAAGAAAAGAATGGAGAAAGAACACTGTAGACTGCTCTATTTCCTCCTGCCTGACCCAGCGCTAATGGTAACACAAAAAAACAGGGATTTGAAAGTTTCCCTCATCCCCACCCCCACCCCGGCAAAGCTTCATATTATTACATTAAAGCAGGACAAGAATTACATCATTTCTTGATAATCTTGCCACTTATTTTCCTTAAATCATACATCAGAGAAGGGTTTTGTTTTGTTTTGTTTACATTTTTGAAGGAGATAAGGTGACCAAAAAAGCTTATGCCAAAGGGATGAAATTGAAGGTGAAGTATGCAGTCTGCTCCACAGGGCATCACTCTGTGGAAGGCATACAGGAGTTCCAAGCTCTGACATACCCAGCAGTGGGATGCACCACAATGGACCTCGGGTTGTTTAAATTGCTGATTATCTGTCGTCGGGACTTATCAGCCAACTTCATGACACTGACACTCTTTAGGCCTCCATCTGTCCAGTAGAGATTTCTTGAAATCCAGTCAAAAGTTAAACTTTCGACATTTCCCAACCTGTTGGCTGCGAGAACTTCTTTTCCTAGAAGTAAAAATATAGTCATATTATTTAAGACAAACTTCCCAACTGCTACACATTTCAATGTTGGATGAAAGGGCATACGTATTTTAAAAACACGTGTGGAATTCTTTAAAGGGAAAAAAAAAATCTGCAAACTGCTGAGCAACAATGAGATAAACCTAGAATCTACCCCTTGCCCACAGTTTGGATCTCAAAGAAGAGATACGGTAGTGATAAACAGAACTGGGTCTGCATTTACTCCCTTGTTCAACCTTCCAGAACACATGAGAGAGAGATACCTGAACTCACCTATTACCACTCAGAGACGGCTCTGAGCTGACACTGCCAGGTACAGTCGGGGGTAGCCCACAGGCATTACCACCCAGTCCTCCTCTAGCAAGCTTGTACAGCCACGGGTAGCCAGGATTGCCAAGGAACCAGAAGAGCTAGTTACGTGAAAAAAAAAAGACCACTCTTTCTCTATTTCTTTCCCTGTGAAAACCTTGTGGCTCTCTTCTCTCCGACTCATAATAAAAAGAAAAAGGGCTCTGGTTCTTCTTCACTAATACATCAGACCACTAAACAGAGGGGTCTTCTGTTTTAATAAAAAGGTGTGTTGCTTGAGTACTCACCAGGTACTTCGCATTGATCCACTCATCCTCGTGGGTACTATATTGAGTGGTGATTACTACTGTGCCTGTTCTACAGAAGATGATACTGGGAGGTGAGAAATGAAGTGTTGGGTATTAGGAACACGGAGACAAAGGAGAAAAAATGGGAGTCTCCCATGCACATGGCTTGATGATGCATGGCAAGCTAGAGGTTCCCATGAAAGCGGAGAGAGGGAGAGAATTCTGCTTGCTCTTGCAGCTTAGCTAGGGGCTGGTGAGTTAGTGACAGAGACTGAAGGATGCAGAAGTCAGTGGACCAGCAGGATGGAGTGCCTAGGACTTTCAGTCTCAGTCTGGGAGGGGGGGAGGGGCTGTGTAGTATAGCCAGGTGCAGTCGCTCACTCCCGTAACCCCAGCACTTGTGAAACTGAGGCAGGAGGATGGCTATGAATTAGACAGCATGGATCAAGACCAGATGGGGCATAGTAAGAACATGTCTCCAATAAATTTACGGATAAATCTAATCTCATTTATAACTTTTGAAAATAGAGGAGAGATATCAGGGTAGTTTGTACCTATTAACCCAGAACTCAGAGAGCTGAAAGCAAGGTGACTCCAGCAAGTTCCAAACCACAGCAAAGAAGAGGAGTAGGTTAGGACAAACCCACTATGTTTTTTTAAAGCAAACAGAATGAGTAATTGCTAATATCAGGGGAAAATCAAATACATCAACATACATATACCCTCACTCACCTGTGCCATCAATTTTTTGTTTATATATGATATCTTTTGCTATGTCTGAGAAAAAGATGGTGCTGGACTGGGCATCAAAATCAATTCCAGAAAAGTAGGAAGGACTCCCAGTGATAGGAACCATGACATCTTCCTGGGTGGAGAGGGTAAACGGGATCCCTCGAACAGCTGTTTTTGATGAAAAGAGCAGGAAGTTCCGAACAGCTGTAGAAAGAGGAAAGAAACATGAAAGTTAGCAGCAATGCAGCCCGGCCCTGTTCCAGAGACGGTGTTTTTATGTTCATTATAAGATCTAACATATGGCCAGGCATTGGTGGCTCACACCTTTAATCCCAGTACTCGGGGGCAGACAGGCGGCTCTCTGTGAGTTTAAGGCCAAAACAATACAGAGAAACCCTCTTGAAAAAGAAAATCTAACATTTATTAACATATAATGGGAAACGATAGTCTCAAAGAAAGGGGATAAGTAAAATTAGTAGTCACACAAGTACTAGTCTTTGTTTTTCATTATTGCATTTTTATGCACAAATATCATTACGTTCTCATCCACTCCCCTTTTCTTGTGTTTGAGGTGGGGTGGATGCACTACCAAGAGATCAAAGGTGGGAGGAGGGTTGCTAACCCTTCCTATTCCCAGAGTCTGAATCTGGAACTCACCATGTTTAGGCAGGCTGGCAGCCAGCAAACCCTAAGGTTCCCTGACCCTCTCATACTCTTCCAGTACTGGGATTACAAGCACTCAAGGCAATATCCGGCTTTTTTACAAGGCTGCTGCAGACCCAAACTCAGATCTTTATCTCCCCAGCCCCTTCATCATAATCTTATTTCTTCCCAAGACATTTAAATTTATTCTTAGGGTCTATTCATATAAAGAACAGTGCCCAGGACTGAGCATATACACGGTCCAGTAATAGAAGTGTTATCTAATGTGTATAAACACTGAAAACCAGCAAGTGTCCATACAGTTTAAAATGTTTAAAAATGTAATTTACTGCCAGGTGGTGGTGGCTCATGTCTTTAATCCAAGCACTTGGGGGACAGAGGCAGGCAGATTTCCGTGGGTTTGAGGCCAGCCTGGTCTACAGAGAAACTTCCAGGACAGGCTCCAAAGCTACAGAGAGAAACCCTATCTGGGGAGGGGGGAGGGGAATTTACTATGTTCTAATATAAAAATGCCAAGTGGGAACTTTTTAAACAGAATTCTACCATCAAGAACCTTACTACACTAAGGGAGGGAACAGCATGGTCTTCTATATATCAAGGGAATCCAGGGCTACATAGAAAGACTCTGTGTTGAAAATCCAAAAAAGAAAGTTCAAAGATAATGGAAGTACAGCCAAATTAAAGAGAAAAATTATATGAAGTTGATCACAGCAGAGGCAAGAATATCCAGAGAACAAGAATATGTCAACAGGATGAGGAGAGTCACGAAAGGGAAATGAGCAACAGGGTTAGTGGCATGCATGGTCGTCATGATTGAACAGATGTGCAGACAACCCCAGAAAAGCAGCAGTCTCAAGGAGAACCAGGAGGAAGAGCGCAATGAAAGAGACAAGAACTATTGTAGAACAAAGCAACAAGGCCAGGTGATCAAGAAGTCATTCACAGGAGTTGGCTACTTCCCACCCCATCAAAATTAAGGCTAAGTGGAAATGACAAGATGACAGGCACAGCACAAGACCCAGCACTAGGGGGGGCAGGGAGTCGGGGGATCTGAAGAACCCAAAATAAGTTCCAGGCCAGCCTGAACTACACTGGTACACATCGGTGATCTTAGCACTCAGGACTGAAACAAGACCATGAGTTATATAGAATCGAAAGGCCATAGCTAATGAATGATTCATGGTAATTAAGTGAGGCACCAATTTCAGGGGAAAAGATCAAAAAAGCCCTGAACAAAGAACCAAAGGGAAATCTCAATCTTCAGTTTGAATGTTTCTATACCCAGAGAACACTGTACCCTTCTTAGAAAGGAGAGACTATCTGGGCCAAAGTATGCACACACAAACCATGTGATGTCTACTGGAAAGACAGGTAAGGCAAATTTCTTACCAACACAGTGACGCTCATCAGTGTCCAGTTCAAAGCCAAATTCACACTTGCAGCGGTAGCCCAGGCCACCATTATCTGTCCTGTGACTGAGGACACAGACCTGCTCACATCCCCCATTGTTACTTGCACATGGATTGCTGGCTGGGAGAAGCACACAAATTAAGACACACTGAGAAAACAAAAGTGATACAAGACATACACAACCATTTGGGTACTCTCCAGCAGCTACAACTTCAGAGTCGTCACTCCTACTTACCACTGTGCCTCCACTCTTAAATAGTAACGGCAAAACCAGGGCTCCTGCAGTGAGATTCTTTTTCTGAGATAATTATTAGTATGCTAGCCTCCAGTATGTATATAAAACTTCTATGGCTCCAATTCAGATGATATCCAAATAATTTATTCTTAGTATATAATTTTTTTCTATTACATAGTGCATATTTTGCAAGTAAGTGTACCACCAGTAACTTTGAAAGAGAAATATTATTATCCTTGCTGGTTCTGAAAAGTTAAGTTGCCCTAGATTGAGTACTTGGCTAAAACAGATCTGATTCCAAATCCTATGTGTCTGTCACACAAACTAGTGTATGCCTTTGATAGCTCACAGTAGCCTGTGCAAGGATGCCACACCAAGCTACTTTGTCTGCTTTATAAATTTTATTTTTTGTTTATTTTTATGTATGTGAGTGCTTGCCTGCATTTATGCACCATGTGCATGCAGTGCCCACGGATGCCAGAAGAAGGCATCAGATCCCCTAGAACTGGACCAAGAAAGGGGATCATGGTCCAGAGACTTACCATTGGGCTGCCTGAGGGCATGGTAAACTGTCACTCCATAAGGCCTCAGAGAAGACTGGTAGTACACTTGAGGGTTGGTCTCCGTGAACTTGTTTGCTTTCATCACAGCCAGCTTTGTCCAATCAGTAAAGAACACATGTTCTTCAAACAAGCTTATTCCAAAGGGATGGGGGACAAGGGAGCCTCCTCGAGCTACCGTCATCCTGTTACAAAGGATGCATGCAAGCGTCAGACCATTGTTGCCTGTTTTTATTTTAGTGAAGGGGTAATTTCTTCAGCTAAATGTCTAAAATCCTAAATTGTTTCTTGTTATAATAGAGAACATGTTGGAAAAGGCATATTTTAGGATGCTTTTGAAATCCTTTCTCATTACGTAAAATTTTGTTTCTTGGGGGGGAAAAAGTGAGAGTTGTAGCTCACAGGTAGAGAGTGCTTTCCACCATGTTAAGTTCCCAATGACCACCAACACAAAGGAAAGGAAGACTGAGAAGAGATAGAAATTAATCCTCCAGTTTGCTTTTACATTTGAGGGAGAAATGACTGCTTTCTCGCTTGCCCTTCACACTTGCCTCACATATAAAAGCTAAGGTGTGAGACTGTATTTTAAACTCCGTACATAGATGGATGCAGTGGGGATCAGAAATCTGGATGACGTTTCCCCAACAATAATTCCACACTGCACCATGGACCATTCCTCAGCAACTAGGCGACAAGACAATGGAATGCAGAAGTGAATGCCTGGCAAAAACCCGGGGCTACCACTCTTAGCTGTGTGAAACTGTCCACAGATCATAATTGCAGCAAGAACCCAATCTGATTAAACACAGGAAAGAAGTGAGGTAGACAGGGGTTCTGAAGGAAAGGCTATTATCTGAAGGAAACATGTTACCAGGGCCCAGAAAACAGTACAATGGGGCTCTTGAAAATAAAAATGCACCATACAAATAATAATGACAATACATTTTTTTTAAAGTACAGGTCACTGATCAAGCTGTCATTTCACAAAGTAGTATTTTAATTCTACTCCTTCAGATTTACACAACCATTTAAAAAACAAAAATGGCTCACCTTTGAACTCCATCGTAGGTTACAGTTTCAATGTAGTCATACCGAGAGTCTACCCAGTAAACTCGCTTGGACACCAGATCCAGAGTGATCCCAGCAGGCCACCCCACTTTTGTTTTTACCAGATCCTTCCGGTTGCTGCCATCCATGAAGGCTCTTTCCACCTTGGGTTGCCCAGAAAGGCTTGCCCAATCTGAGAAAAATAAATAGCTACAAAAGAAGAGTAGGAGATGAAAGACTCTGTTTAAGAGTTTACCTTAGCCTCCCTCCTAAAACTCTCCTGTGGAGATCTAGAACATTTGCTTTTAAACCTGAAAGAAAGTAGGCCAGGTTGATGTGCTGTGCTGGTTCACACTGTTGTTCAAGCCAGGGGTGTAGATCAAGGGCAAACCAGAATACTCACACCGACAGTCTTCCCCCTTTAAAAACCATGTCAGCTGGTTCACATCCGAGGCAGCCCCTTAATAGGGGTGCAGCATACTAATGTTCTATTGTATTGTAATAATTAATTAAACTGAACCAGAGCCCAAAGACAGTTCACACCACAGGTATCTTCAGGACACCACAAGGTGTGCTTGGATTACATATCCTCATATGAACTTATTACATATTACATAGCCTTCTGTGGACTTCTCTTTATATTATATATCCTCATATATGGATGTATAACTCTGCCAAAGCCTCAATACCTAGGAACCTAGTAAACATGGGTTCTAGTGTATAGAACCAAAAGAATTCATAATTAACCTCCAATGAACGCAGTGGGGGGTCAGATGTTTAGGAGGAATAGGTATACCCTGACATCACTTACCCTACAGTTGGGTCTACGGCAATTCCTCTAGGACGCCCCAAGTTTTCAGTTATAAGAGTAATACGTTGACTTCCATCCAAGTTGACCATGTCAATGCGGTTGACTTTTGTCTCTACCAGATAAAGTTTATTATTAATCCAGTCCACAGCCAGATTCTCTGGAGCTTCAACAGAAACATTAAGGATTTCTTGGGTATTTAAGCCATTAATGTCTGTGGAAAAAACCTGGAAAAAAAGGCCACAATCAATAAATATGCTTCCTAGCCTGAGCACGAACCCTGTTTTCATATATTTCATTTAGTGCATATATTTTGTATGAATAAGCTACCTCAACCTTACAAACAGCTGGCTATTATATTTTACATTGTGGGTTACCAGGAGAAAAATGGATTTTTGTTAAGAGTACATATACGGTACATTCATAGTTGGATTCTGTAGGGGTTTTTCTATTTTTTGTAGAGGTTTTTATTTTTTGTTTTAAGCCTGCATCTTTTTTATCTTTGGTGTAGATTTTCCATGAAGATGATGGTGGTCTGTTTTATTTTAGTTTTGTTCAAATCAGAATTGCTAATGATCAAAACTCTCAATATTGTGCATTCTCCCTTAATTTGAGCCCTATAAAAATAATTGGTTTCCTATTAAAAGAAATAGAACAAGAATAAGGGAATAAAATTCCATGCTCTTCAGGAGTTTCTAAAATATGTTTAGGAATCTGAATCTGGCTGGGTGGTGGTGGTGCATGCCTTTAACCCCAGTGCTCAGGAGACAGAGACAGGTGAATCTCTGTAAGTTCAAGGACAGCATAGTCTGAGATCCAGGGCAGGCTCCTAAACCTACAAAGAAACCCTGTCTTGAAAAAAAAAAAAAAATAATAATAATAATAATAATAATAATAAATGAAGAGTAGTGGTTTAGTGCAGAGTGGATCTGTATTGTATTCAACATTCTAACAAAATCAATCATACTTTCTAAGTAGAACATTGTAATGAAATCTTGGCCATCACATCAAAAGCTTCCAACCCTCAATTGTACAGTTCCATGTACAAACTGAAGGTTAAAAAAAAAATTTTGCTTTTTATTATGCAAGTAAGAGTGCTTTTTATATTTTAATGATCAAGTTTCAAAAATGACTAGTAAATATCTATCTAGTATTGGAAAGTCTATGATTTCTTTTAATTATCCTTTTGGACTCCTTTACGAATAAAATTAAAAGTTGCTCAAGTCTAATCCAAATAATGGCTGTCTTTGTCTCCCAGGTCACATGTAATAGTATAGCATGCAAAAGGTGCTGATTAACATAAAATATCTCAAGGGCCTTTTTTGTCAGAAAACAAAGGAACTTTCCCCTATACTCCCCCCAAAATGAAAAGCTATCAACACTTTGTGCTTTAGGTTCCCTTTGGCTCACAAGCTACACCCTTGATATTTTCTACCTACCTTATCCTGCACGGGGTCTGTCCAAAAGACTCTTCGCTTCTGATAGTGAAAATCCACACCCATAGCCTGTCCACGGTTTTTAGACTCTACTAGAATCTGGAAGTTTCTTCCATGAAGATCTCCAATTAGTAAATCCCGACCATTGGAGAAGATAATGGAGGCCACACTGACTACAAGGAAAAAAGAAGAGAGCAAGTGAAGGGAACTGATGTCAGCTTCTGTTTCCCATGAGACAGCAGACTGCAATCACCCTCACTGCTGGTCCAGCACAGTTAAGAATACAGTAAGTCCCCTAAAGATTTGGACACCCTAAAATCACATGTTCCTTCATGTTCTGTTAAATACAGAATACATTTTAAAGACTCTGGGGATGTATGTCTCTGGTAGATGCAAATCTATACTACATACTCCCAAATAAGCAAAATAACAGGAAGAAATCACTGAGTCTTAATTTGTACTAGCTTAAAATATGTTTGGCTGGTTTAGAGAGTTATGTGCCAGGCTGGAGGGATGGCTCAGTGGTTAAAAGCACAGACTGCTCTTCCAGAGGACCTGGGTTTGATTCCAGCACCTGTGTGGCACCTCAGAACCTTCTGTATCTCCGGTTCTTGGTTTTCTGATTCCCTCTTCTAGATTCCCGGGGTACCAGAGGTGCATTTGTTGCACAGACACACATAGGCAAAATACCCATATGCATAAAAAATACATAATTCATAATAAAAAGAAACTGACGCAGGGAGTGGGGGTTCATTCCTGTCATTGCACTCAAGAGGCCGCTGAGGCAGGGGAACTCTCCAGAGTTAGACGCCAGAATGTACTACCCAGTGAGTCCTAGGCCAGCATGAGCTACACTGTGAGACACTGGCTCATAAATTTCAACCAAAAATAATAATAATCAAGAAAGAGTTAATACAGAACATGTGACATTATCAAAATGCAGAACTGCATGCATAGTTTACTTGTACATGTTAAAACAGGATTCAATATCTATCATTGTACTTTTGCTTTTGCATTTTTTAGTTTTCTAATGAAGCAAAGGAATTATTTGTGGGAAAGGAAATACACTTGTAAGAAAGAATCAAGGATGGAAGGATATGTTTATATTAAATATGAATATTCTTAACTTTAACATGAACATATTTTTATTTTTGCTATCTGGATCCCAGTTAGTCCAGGTTAGTGCAGACTCACTAAGGAGCTGAGAATGACCTTGAACTAGCGTATCCCAACAGACAAAAATAGCTAAAATTCAACATTTACAGAAACTATAAACCAAATTTAGTATGTTCGTTTTGAAAATTTCTAAGTTATTTCTACACATAACTCTTATTCTACAGTAAAATTAATTGGGCAGTACAATGGCCTGGGCCAATAAAGAAGATGTTAAAATGTCTGGAACTCCCAACACTTGGGGGCAGAGGCAGGCGGAACTCTGAGTTCAAGTCCATCTTGTTCTGTAGAGTGAGTTCCAGGACAGCCAGGGCTACACAGAGAGACCTTGTCCCAAAACAAAACAAACAAAAAAGGAAAACCAAACCAAAAAAAAAAAAAAAAAAATGCTGAAACTATCTTTGAGTGCATGCTTGAGTCTTAGATTCAATACTTAGTACTGAGAAAGTGTAGGGGAAGAAAAAAGAAAAATATTAGAAATGTTCAGCATTAATATAAAAATTGGACCTTAATAACATACAATTAAGGCTCATCTTTTCTTCCAAGCCACAAGGCCACCTCCACTCTCTGACAACAAATCCTTGCTGTGGTCAGAAATGCTGTTATTTCGTCTGTCACCAGCTAAGGAAGGGAAGTAGCAGAAGACAACTGGTCAGAGATGTAGGAGTCAAATACTCACAGGAACTATTGGCTTTGCAGTGCTGCCCACGCTCCAAGATGTACCCTTCCTCACAGAGACACTGGTGACGGCCTTGTCGGTTTTCACACTTCTGGTCACAAGTTCCCCATATCTGGCAGTCATCAAAATCTGCCACATGAGAAAAAAAAAGTTCATAATCACGTTCATCAGCATTTCTTGGGGATTCTCAGAAAAAAATATTGAATTCTATCTCTAAGAAGTACACATAAGCCGGACATTGGTGGCCAATGCCTTTAATCCCAGCACTTGGGAGGCAGAAGCAGGCAGATCTCAAGGCCAGCCTGGTCTCCAGAGCAAGTGCCAGGATAGGCTCCAAAGCTACACAGAGAAACCCTGTCTCGAAAAAACAAAAAAAGAAAAAAGAAAAAAGTACACACAGGAACACAGACATTTTCATAAGGAGAAAATCCATAAACATTTTTACAAGAACACTCACTTTTACAGATGGTGAATGGCACTGTACTCACACGCTCTCGTTACTATATCTCATTACTAATATTAATTAATATTGGCTAAGAGGATTCATTCATTTGGGTAAAAATGCTTCCCTTAAAAACCTTTGCTTTTCCAATAGCAACCATTTGTCCCCTAGTTTCCTAGTCTTGTCTGCCTAGTCAAGTCCTCAAGAGCTACATAATTACCAATTACAAAAGTGAAGATATAGCCCGGCACTGGTGGCGCATGCCTTTAATCCCAGCACTCGGGAGGCAGAGGCAGGTGGATCTCTGAGTTCGAGGCCAGACTGGTCTCCAGCAAGTACCAGGATAGGCTCCGAAGCTACACAGAGAAACCCTGTCTCGAAAAACCAAAAGAGTGAAGATACAGAAATATTTGCATTTGCCAGAAAGTCCTATTGGCAACACTATTTTTGTATGTGTGAGACAAACCCTCATGAAAATGGTCTGTGACTACAAATGAAGTATTTAGGAATTTCTTTTTCTCCATATCTCTTTGTTTTGACATCAAAGTAATAAGCAACACTAAATTTATCTTCTAAAATATTTGTTGATTGTCCCTGATATAAAAGGTATGCAAAGTCACAAAGCAATGTCAGTTCCATTGACAAAAAATTTTAATGTAAAAGACACATAACAACATTGTAAGTTTTGAGGGATGCACTAATTGTCCTGCCCTTGGTAGGCTGGTATATTTAAATACCCTTCCTAACCATGACTCCTCCCTATCTAACAGTAAAAGCATAAATGATCATAATGTCTTATTTGCTTATTTATTTAACTTGGTTTTGTTTTGTTGAAACAAAGTCTCTATGTATCTGTGGCTATCCTGGGCTGGCATTAAAGGGTATCACTATACCCAGCTACCACCTATTTTTTAAATTACTGTGTGGTGTGTGTGTGTGTGTGTGTGTGTGTGTGTGTGTGTGTACATGTGCATTCCATTGTATGTGTGTGAAAGTCAGAGGACGTTGGAATTAAATTCAGGTCATCAGTCTTGGAGGCAATCACCTTTACCCACTGAGCCATCTCACAGGCCCACCATCTAATTTTGATTGCAAAACTAAGGGTCTGAGTCAGATAGCAGCAGGAGTATGGATGCCAATCAGAAGGAAACTAGAACAGGACATCCGAGGTACAAATGCCCTTCCTATCACCTTGCTCTGAATATGTTCCACATGTGGATATTTCCAATAACTGGATATTATATTCTTTGCCACTCATCAGTGCCAGTCAAGACAGGACTACATACATGGTAAGAAACCACCACAACAAAAAAGATTGTACTATTTAGATCCCTCCTGTGGAAAATGAAGGCTAATTAAACATCTATCATCAATTGAATACGATAAGAAAATGAAAGTAGCCTGAGGGACTGTCATGAAACTAGGAATGAAGTGGACCTGAAATACAGCCCATGCCCAAATACCTTCACCTTAATCTCTTTCTCTTCTTTTCTTATTCTTTGCCCCCCACTCCTACCAACAAACACTGCTTTGACAAAATTCAAAAACCTTTTTGGCTTAGAATGCCTAAGATAACTCTGTCTGGCTGTGTGAAACCCTGCATGCTGAATGACCTCTGTGCCCTGACCCTGCAGCACAATGTCATTCTGTCAACAAACAGCATGTCCTGTCAATCAGAAACAATGAGCCCAGTAAACTGTTTCTGGATGCCACAGAAACTCCACAGCCAGGTCAAGACTACCAGAGGCCAATGAATAGTGGAAAGACACCAGATTCCGTGTCAAGATTACTCCATTTTATTCTTGATTAGTACCAAGGCATTCAATGGAGAGACAGGTCGAAGAAGGCAACCAACACCTGAAGTCTCAGTAATGAGTCAGCCATGCAAAAACCATGCAGAGGATTTATTGAGTTCAAATGCTTGAGAGAACAAACTAAAACAATTCTCCTGAAACCTCAACTCAGCTTAAACAAGTGTATATCTGATTTCATAATGTCCTGTATTTAAACTGGAGCTCACAAAGAGAAAAACAGTCATCTTTGAAACGAATATGGAAGGGTTTATTTAGCCGGCCTCAGAACTCAGGGTTAAATCATGCATTCATGAATCCTGGACAGGGAAGGTCACAGAAAAGGCCCCTGCAGGTGGCAGGGGGCCTTCCAGTCACAAAGGCCCTCAAATGTAGACTTTTAAGCTTATCTCTAAATGAGGTTGTCTGTAAGAATGTCCCAAAAAGAGACTGGTGGGGGGACTGAAGGATGTCCCCTGGAATTTAAAACGGGTCCCTCACTGTTCAAACAGGCTGTTTCTATTGTGCTTCAGGCTGAATGTGTTTGATAAACCCTAAAACCTGCCAGCACCATGAGGAAGTGTTTCTGCATGGCAACATTCGCAGGCTATGTGTAAAGTTTTATGACTCAAAAACTTTTGCGATGTCAGCTTTTCACTTCTCACACAATGAAAATGGAAGAGACCTGAGCCTCTGACATTTAAGAAGCTCTAGTAGATACAAGCCTCAGTTCAGAGTTACATATAGGAAACGTGCTACATGGGTGAGGAGAAAAAAAAAAAAACAAAAAAAAAAACAAGAACAGGTTGTGGGCGGCACCAGACAGGGCACACTGTAAAAGCAAGTCACTCAAGTTTCCACAGCAAGACAGCTGACACCCAACCCCCATCACAATCCGATTCCCAACCCGCTTCCCACCCCTTACTCCCCCCATCCCCCACCTCAGCCACTTGCTTTGGGGATTGTGAAAGGAAAAAAGGAACGCTGATGTAATACTGAGAATGTGGTTTCTGGTATTTCTCTTGGAATTCCTTTTCTACTGAGAGAAAAAGGAAATAAATGCCTAGAGAAGGAAAAGCCTGGAAATGGGATTGGCAGCATGCTGGCAGCCAAGGGAGCAGAGGTGCCTGACACTTGCCAAAGTAAAGGGGCAGTCTCACCCCACCAATGAGCACTGCCCCAGGAAACAGAATGCCTCTCGAAGGAATGCAATGAAGAAGTCTACCTGCCAGATGAAGATGGGCCTGTGTGCACAGTTTAACCCTTGAGCGGATCCCAATGCAATGAGAATAAGCATAAGAAAACATCTCAGTTTCAGAGTATATTTTATCTGCAAAAATGTCTTCAAAGTACTAGAAACCTGAATGGATGTTTAGAATAATTTAGACTTCTCAGTCCCATTGTGAAGGCATGAACCAGAGGGTCTCATGTAGTCCAACCTGGCCTCAAAATCACTCGACCAAAGTCAAGGATGACATTTAATCCCTGATCTTCCTGCCTCAATTTACCAAGTGTTTATCTAAATTCAACGTTTTTTTTTTTAAAAAAATAAACTGGAATAAAAATTTTAGAATTTTTTTCAGAAGAAATACTTTCCTAAAGCAGAGTTTATTTATTATTTATTTCTTTATGTGTATCCGTGCCACAATGAGGTCACAGGAAAACCTGCAAGTGTTGAGTCGCTCCTTCCACCATGTGGTCTGGGAACTGAACTGAACTCAGCAGCAAGCATCCCCACCCAATGAACCACGGCTTCTTTAAAAGGTTTTCTTGTGCTTATTTTCAGTGTTTAAAAACCAGCATGGCTCTACGCCCTGGTTTATGTTTATATGTATAAGAATGGGTTTGAAAGGCTGTGAAAAAGAGACCATGAGTGGGGGAAAGAGGCATTGTGGAAGGCTAGGCATAAAACAGGTTAAGAGAGTGCAGACGTGTACACTAAGTGTTCAGGGAGATGGATGGAAAGAGAGTGGAAGGAGAATCTACAAGAACAAATTTTTGTCTGAAAACGCCAACCCCATAGTGTTCATGCTAACTTTAAAAAGAAAACCAGCACGCCACAGCCTCTAAATATTTCAGGTGGTTAACAGGTACATGTCACTAGTCAACTCCACTCTCCAGCTTGTCATTTCACAAAAGCCTCAGGGCAGAAGCTGCCCAGGTTTCAGAGTTTGCAGGCCATCTGGGACACTCTGATGATACCCATGGAGCTCCTAGCTGCCACTTACCAATGCAGGTGCGGCTGTCATTGACGTTGATGATATGACTTGGGGGACAAAAACATTCTCCTCCATATGGTGTCTGGTGGCATTGGTACTCGCAGTTTAAGACCGAGCAGATACCCGTACCTAAACAGAGAAGGAGAGAAACTGCTAAGTGGATAGACTATGGACAAGTTTGATGGACAAGACTAAGTTTGCCTAATAACTTTCATACAGTAAAGCAAGAAAACCAGCATTACTAAGAAAACACTGCATTACTATGTAGCAAATGCTTCATTTGTATTCCTTAAACCTTTTGTTTTAATGTTATTTATTAACTGCTGCTATGTGTGGGGCATAAGTGGCTACCAGTGACTATCGCCATTCATGAAAAATGGGGTCATAGGGTTGGTACTGCTAACTTGGCTGGCTTCAAATAGTATGGTTTCAGAAGATTAGTTTGTTTCTTTCTGTTATTTTCTAAATTATTACATGTCATTTGTTTATTATTAAGTAAATCTGACAAGTGTTGTCGGTGGGGTGGGGGTGGGGAGGAAGATCCTTGGAATTAGAATTACATGTGCTCATCTGTGAAATCACCAATTGAGTTAGTGTCCAAAATTGTGGGATGTTCTCAGAACAGATGGGCTAGGTGGAGTAAGGAGATAGAAAGGACACGAATGTGCCCTGAATAGCTAGATCAGTTTTACCGTTGGAAAATAGTTCGCAGTACCTATCCTAAGAACCAAGGAAGACAACTGAACACACGCACACACCCTAGAAACCAGAAGTTTCTTTTCTTCTAGTATATCCTAATAGACCATAAAAAGCAAATATCAAATGTATGAAACAGGATAGAGGACAGAGTTCAGTGGGTAGGACATTTGCATAATAACACTATTGAGTCCTAAGTCCTAGAATCATACAAAATAAAAATCTCCCACATTAGAGTCATCGTAATCGTTATTGAAACAATTTTCCCTGGCGGCATGCACTTTCATTCCATTCTGGCCTCAGCCATATGACATGCAATGGTCAATAAATTAGCAAACATTATACATGCAAAGACTTAAAAATGGTCAAATGCAAGGGCTTACTCTTTCCATCACTGTCAAACCAAGTGTGGATTAGTACAGACAAGAATCACCACAGAAATAATAAATGTTAGACCCTGAAGCAACTAAATGGAGGTATTTTATTGTGCAAATGCCAACTGATACTGCATGCATTTGAGAATCTGCTCTAGAAACATTGGGAAACAGGGAGCAACCCTTATACAGTTGCCACACTCACCACATTGTCTTCCAGTAGTGGTGTTGGTTTCATCTTCTCCGCCTGGGCAGTCTGGAACTCCATCACAAACTTTGTCAATTGGGATGCACCGTCCAGACCCTGGGCAATGCCATTCTCTTGGGTAACATGTATGATAACGTTGATTACTTTCTGAAAGTGAAGAAGAGAGCGTTCTAGACCACCCTTAATGACCCATGGTTAAAAGAAAATATGGGTCAGGTGAGAACCTGACTGTTGCAGTAGAGTCTACCACCAGCCATTTACTGAGATCCTATGTGATCAAATGGAATTATTTAAGTTCCACGTAACTTTTCCTGAATGAGGCAGCCAACAAACATTGATCATCCAAGAAAAATGACAGAACATAAAATCACTAGATGCTTCCAGAATAAGAGAGACCCTGTATCTGGAACCTGCTGTATGGAATGGATACTAGATAAGTGACAACTGTGGGAGGAACCACTGGTGACAGTGGCAGAGTGAATACCAAAGGCAAGTTCCTTCTCAAATGACAACATATAGGGAGCTGCCTGCACTTGCCCACCCTGAATCCCATTCCAATGTTCCCAGCATGACCTATCTATCCTTCACATGTTACTGCAGGCCTAAGGCATTTTTTAAGGCTCTAAAGTCTAATAATAAAACAAATGGCCTTTTCCCTCCTTCCCTGGCAGTAGTAAAACAAGTGGTTTTGAAGGGAAAGAAAGGTGGTCTGGAGAAATGTCTCAGAGGTTAAGAGCACTGGTTGCTCTTCCAGAGGTGCTAAGCTCAATTCCCAGAAACTACATGGTGGCTCACAACCATCTATAACAGAATCTGATACATAAATAAAAGTCCTAAAGAAAAGAAAAAAAGAAAGGTGTAAAGGTCAAGAAACTATCCTGCCTACTATTTCTTAGAGATGGGAAAGTAATGGATTAATTGATATTGCATCTGGGTTCTAGTGTGGTTACCTAAAGGAGAAAAATGACCTTTGATGGAATCTTGCCTAGTTCTTACCACATCCATCTTCATCACCAGAATCTTGGCAGTCATCCTCTCCATCACAGACCCAGTTCTGGTTAATGCACTGGCCATTGGAGCAAGTGAAATGATGGCCCCCGCAGGTGTCATAGGCTATAAGAGAGCAACAAGAGAGCACTACAAAGGCACAGTCACTGGTGAAAAAGTGTTCATTCACAGCCTGCAATCAGCTCTTAGAAACTGATGCTTCTACATCAGTTTGAGCCTTAGTAGCTTGACAAACATGAAAAGAAAAAAGCAGGCAGGCAGGCAGGCAGGCAGGCAGGAAGGAAGGAAGGAAGGAAGGAAGGAAGGAAGGAAGGAAGGAAGGAAGGAAGGAAGGAAGGAAGAAAGGAAGGAGTAAAGAAAGCAAAAATAGCAGCTTTGACTCCAGGAAATGAACTTGAGTGCCAGAGAACAGAGATGTGCAGTGATCAAGACGCTAGACATGCCAACACTCAGCATTTCCTGGTTTTGCCCTAGGCACTGTAGCTGTCATCTACACCAAAATACACTCCACAGTGCCTCATTCTCTTTAATTAACTCCCAGAAAAACAGGGAGATGGGGCACTATCCAATCAAAGCAAGTGAGAGATTATTGTAGTAGGTAGACAACCCCAGGAAGCTGGTGACTCATGGGAGCTGGTAAAACAGTTATCATGATGTCTTCTAACTTTACAATATTCCAATAAAGGAAGTTCAGAATACAGCTAAGACACAGAAATATTGGTTGGGTCAAAAGGACAGATGCAGAGACAATGAAAGTCATTTACACCAACCATAGAAACTTTCTTGGCCTTCTAATATAGTAGGAATTTCAAAATTGGAGCTAAAACCCTTCCCTCTCAAGATCTACTATCAAGATCAGAGTCCTGTGACATATTGTGACTTGCAACTCAAAGAATGTAAGAAAGAATGCAAGCTATCAGCAAATCTTTGCCTCTACTGAGATCCCTGGAGGATAAAGGAACCCAGGTCAAGCAATACTAATAAGGTTGGAGCAATAGCCCTTCCATTATCTTTTGGCTTCTTCTACCATCAAACAGAGATGTCTTTGAAGGAAAAGATGCATTATGTTAGTATATGGGAGAGGACAAAGCACCCCTTATCACATGACCCAGCATAAGGAAATCACCGTACTGCAATTGTGTTCATCGCTGTTATCTTCACAGTCATTGTCATGGTCACAGACATAGGCACGAAGGATACACTCTCCACTGCCACACTGGAATTCCTTGTGTGAACAATGTGTAGCTGAGACACAAGGTTAAAAAGAGGAAGAAAAAGAGATAATTGTCACCATCTAATTTCATTGGAAGGTTCTACCTCCTATTTTAAAAGTAATAGTTAGGCAGTGGGCACTGATACAACCAGTCCATGGGGGAATAGAGAGGACCCAATTTGTAACTTCTACCAAAATCCATGATGTAAATACTGCCACTGGTGGATGATTTTAAACAATTAATTAATATGGACCCGGTGTACACAGGCTTGAGAAGAATTGTATGTATTTGTCCCTCTCAAGTCAGTAGAAGCCAGCTCCAGCTTACCACCCGCCTCTAAGTCACATGACTTACTGCAGTTGGCTTCGTCAGAGGCGTCCCTGCAATCCACTTTCTGGTCACACTTCTGACTCGTGTTGTAACAGGCTCCATTGGCACACGTGAGTTGATCACATGTTGGGTAATCTATTTTAAAAAAATAAAACCTTAAATTAAGGCATCAGTTTAATATTTCCTGGGTGACTGCAATATGCTAGGCACTGAATGTAAGATGGTCCCTGACCTCCTTGAAACAGTGAGTGAGGGAAAGGGGAGATAAAAGCTGAAGAATTAGAATATAAAATGATTCAAAATGGAACTTCCTCCTACATAATACACACTACATCCTAGGAAACTCATGTACTGCCATACATGCTATGGGAAATGAAGGGCTATTTCTCATTGGAGGGGAAGAAAGAGAACAAGCCTAGAGATCGGGAGACCTTGGCCTGGGGCAGAGATAATAGCCATGGCTTTTTACTCAACCTGCTCATTTTCTGTCAACATACATGAATACCACACAGGGTAGATGGTCCTAAGAAAACAATGTCTAGTAAACCTTTATTATGACCTTTACATAATAACATTCGAGCTCACAGATCCTGCCTTACTTATTTTAGAATCAGGAATTGAAACACCACTCAGTGTATGTTACTCAGGGATGGTAGCTCAGAATTGTAACTCCAGGAACTGAGGTAAGAGGATCATTTTAAGTTGGAGGAAACAAAGCCTGGGCTACATAGTGAGTTCCACACCAGCCCGAGACACAGAGTGAAAATCTGCCTGGGAAAAGAAAGAAGAAAAGAGGAAGATGAGGAAGACAGGGGAGGAAGGAGAGAACAAAGAGGAAGAAAGAAAAAGAACAAGTCAATATTGCTATTGAGTTACCTATCCCAGGTAGGCATCATAGATAAATGCCTTTTCTTGAACATCTGCTTTGCTTTGTTACTGTTTGTTTTATTTGGTGGCAGGGTCTTTCTATGTAGCTCAGGCTAGCCTGGAATTCACTATGTAAATCAGGCTGCCCTCAACTCATGACCCTCCTGTTTCAGCTGCCCTCGTACTGGGATTACAGGTGTGTGGCACCAATATTTTTTATGTCCTTCACACAAGTGTCTTCTCATTGAGATTCTCAAGTTGTTTTCAGATTTATTTTTAACTAAGGAGAAGGCAAGTCTCATAGTGAGATAGCACATCCCTACCTCGAAGCTAAGACTGTGCTGAGCAATTTTAAATTTGTTCTGAGTTCATCCTTGAACTGCTCCTTCCCTTTCATTATGGGGATGCTACATTTCGAAAACGTGCCTTTAATGGGCCACACAACTCTGTTTATTAACTCTGCCTCCCAGAGATGCAAATGGTCAGGTGAGAACCTCACTCAAATCCCTTCCCCCTTATCCCCCACCACCGTGTGCCAGATAGTTCCAGGAGTCAACATGTTATCTAGCCTTCTGAGAGCAGCATCAAGCTGAAAGCCAGCTCTCTGCCAGCCCTCTGGCCAGATAAGCCTCCTGTCAAGGGGAAAATTTATTTGGGTTTGGACTGTGGCTACCACATTTAAGGTGATTGTTATGGCTAAGAAGGATCTGGAATCAAAGTGCTGGGTAGGGCTCTTGTTCTCTCCAGCCATAAAACTTAAGGGAGATTTAAATCAGTATCCCCTGACAAGGCTCTTTCCCTGAAGCTAACAGGGGCCAGCTTGATGTCAGCAGGGTGGTATCAGGATGGCCAGAGGTCAGCAGTCTGAATGAAGAACAAACAGCTATTTTGTCTCCATCTAAGATGATAATGAATCTCTCTCAAACAAAGGAGGAACAACTCCCAACCCCAGACCCTGTATACCTTCTGGTCTTTTTTGTGTGTAGATAACTTGAGGTGTTCCCCCTTTGGATATCTTCCCATATGAAACAGGCCCAAATTTTCCTTGTTAAAAATATTGAGGAGTTTCAAGCTAAGCCATAGAACAGCAAGTCATAATTGGATGAGTTTCCCACTGGGCAATATTTAACGCCCTTCTTTGTGAGTTTATATATTTGGCAAGCCTGCACCTAACCTTACACTTTTTTTAAACCATGGAGCAAAGCCATTCAGTGATCATGATGTCTTGCAAATTTGTCAAGCAGAGAAAGTTCAATTGGAGGAAACACCCAGGAAACCACCTTCTTTCTTTTTTTTTTTTTCATTTTTTAATTTAAATTAGAAACAAGATTGTTTTATATGTCAATCCCAGTTCCCTCTCCTTCCCCTCCTCCCCTGTCCCCCACTAACACCCTACCTATCCCATAACCCTTCTGCTCCCCAGGGAGAGTGAGGCCTTCACAGGGGGTCTTCAGAGTCTGTCATATTCTTTGGGATAGGGCCTAGGCCCACCACCATGTGTCTAGGCTGAAAGAGTATCCCTCTATGTGGAATGGGCTCCCAAAGTCCATTCCTATGCTAGGGATAAGTACTGATCCACTACAAGAGGCACCATAGATTTCTGAGACCTCCTCACTGACACCCACATTCATGGGGTCTGGATCAGTCCTATGCTGGTTTACACCACCTTCTTTCTGTGCCTTGAAGGAAAAGACTGACCCATTAACTAAGACAAAAATGTCATACTTCCTCACACCACACCCTGCTCCTCCCCAAGCAAGGGACTTGTTCCCCACAGATTGACATCTGCCACAAAATATGCATACAACGCTGTTCTCCCTTAAGTGATTTGGTTTTGGTAAGAAGCTTTCATGCTATAGTTATGTAAGTAATAGAGGGAAAAATTAAAGAATGTTCATGAATGGAACAGCCATTAAAAAAAAAATGTATTCACCAGGCTGCAAATATGAGGCCAGAAAAAGTGAACAAAGTGATTCCAGACTAACCTGATCTACAGAGTGAGACAGACTCTGGATGGACGGACGGATGAACAAATGGAAAGAAGGAAGAAGGGGGAAAGAGGGGCAAGAATGGGAGAGGAAGAAGATGGAAAGGAAAGGGAGTAGCTCGAGGCAGTGGGTTTCTTTCTCTCAACTTTTCATGTACTTTACAAAGCCTAGAAAGTTGATGCCAACTCCACGTTCTTTAACTTCATGGTGTTATTCTACAAAGATGTCAACTTGATATGTAAAGCAGGGTTTAAAGTCTATCATCTGTGTGACCTGGGATTAGACTCAGATGTGCCTGAGCTACTTTAGCCCTCCTCCACTACACACATACAAACTTGCAACCCAAGCTCCGATACTATAGTAAATGGTGCAAAGACTGCAAAAGTACAAAATACCCTCATGTTACACCCATTTATTTGCACACATTTATAAATTGTACCATATTTAGTGGCACTGTTCCAATATAGAAGGAGCTGTGTTGTACGAGCCAAACACCTTGATCCTATTCCTGTCTCATCCTCATGCTTGTCCCCAGTGGCCAGCTGCACCAATCACCAGAAAGAGTGCAGCTTAGCACAGCTACTAGGAGCCCAAGTGAGTATGCCTTCATCTCAGTGCTGTATTCTATTTCATTCCTAGTCAACATTTAAATATTGAAATCAACTTTCTTGTCTGAGTTTGAAAACAGTTTAGACTACATAGCAAGGGGGGGAGAGAATGGCAAGTTAAATGAAAATTCTTACAGCTTTTAAATTGTTTCAGACTATCATGTATAATTAATATACATAATATACTAACATAGCTGACCGTGGTGGCACACCCCTTTAACCCCAGCTATCTGGAATAGATATATTCCAATGCATTCCAGGTTAGGTTGGGCTACATAGAAAACGGATGTCTCATAAAACAAAACTAATATAATAATTATTATTATTTCATACCACAAATATCAAGGCATTTTAGCTATGTAATAAAAATCCCTGCTCTTGTAGAATTCTCATTCTGTTCGAGGGCGTGGAATAACCGAAAACGCAAATGCTACCCAGAATATTACAAAATAGAGTAATGTACACACTAAAAAATTACAAAAGTAGCCGAGCAGTGCTGGCATACACCTTTAATCCCAGCACTTGGGAGGCAGAGGCAGATGGATCTTTGTGAGTTCCAGGTCAAACTGGTCTACAGAGCCAGTGCCAGGACAGGCTCCAGGCTACACAGAGAAAATCTGCTTAAAAAAAAAAAAAAAAAAAAAAAAAAAAAAAAAAAAATTTTTAAAAAAAAAAAAAAAAAAAAAAAAAAAAAAAAAAAAATGGAGTCCTTAGGGACAGCTGTGTGTGGCTTTGCTGTGATGGGGATAGAGGAATTGGGCAACAGCTAATTGTGACCCTAGAATGGTTATAAAGATGGGAGATATATGTTTGATGGAAACTAAATAAGTTTTTTTTCCTTTTTCCTCAAATTTCAGGACCCAGAATCCTGGCTGTATGAATACTAAGCAGGTACAAGTGTACTGTGATATGAGTCCCAGGGTCACTTGAACAAGGCTCATTGGGCAGCCAGTTGTGAACTGAGGCTGAAGAACAGTGTGTTCTTCAAGAGAACCCTCACAGTCCAGAGTGACTTTAACTGTCATCATGACTCCCTTCCAACTGCAGCCCCAGCTGGAGTTTCCGCAGTTAGACACATAAAGAAAAATGTTTAAATTCTGAAAAGAAAGTCAATAGAAATGAACCACTGGGGACAAAGCAGTCCGGGTTGCAGGCAGACCAAATACCTCTGCTTGCCCGCAAGAAAGCCTCCATTGTAACAGGGATTTTACCCTTTCTTTGGCATTCCCAAGTAACAAAAGAGAGGGCTGCAAACCCACGATAATTAGCGATAGTTTTACTCCCACCAAAATCGTTCCTATCTGGTGCCCAATAAAAAGAAATAATCTTTTTTACTTCCCTGAAAATGGCTACTATTTTTGAGCAAGCGAAAGTCACTTCGGTATATTAAATGAATGGCCCATAATTGGTGCATTGTTCTGATGTTTATCTAGACTCTGCCTGAGTGCTTTGGCTTGAAGCTAATCCCATTACAAGTAAAATGGACTGCAGTTTTGAGTCTTTCTGTTCCTTTTAAAAAAAAAAAAGAAATGGACAAGCTTTTTAATATCAGGTGCCATTTTACAGATGACCAGATTGAGTAATAAAATAATGGGAGGGTAGGGGTAAGGGGGGAGCCTATAAAAGCTATTTCAAAGCTTTTAACATAGGTAGAAATATTCCTCAAAGTGTGGAATAACCAACCAACAGTACCTAAAGCATTTGAAAATATAGCAGGCAAAAAGGCCAGATACATTAAGTATCTCTTACGTCATAGGAAATTTATGTAGGGGACGGAGCAGGAGGCCTGGCCTCAAACTCAAAGTCCACCTGCCTCACTCAGCCTCCCTAGTTCTGTGATCAGATATGCATCACCAATGCCTATCTCAACTTTGAGGTCACAGATGATCCATTTATTGGGATCTTAATCCTGTTGCCTTCCTCCCATCCATTCTCTACCTCCCCCCACCCTCCACCTCCCTGAGAAGACTCCAGCACATCATTCTCTGTTCTGGAAAGGAATTCCTGGAATGGACACAAGGTGTTCTGTCTTGGAGGGCAAGGTCTTGGCTTTAGAAACTTGAAAGAGTAGGGATCATAACACAGAGGTCTGGTCTCACTGGGAGAGCTACAAATAACAGAGCCAAGCTTCTTGGTCTTCAAATACTGGAGAAATAAATTATCTGGAGTTTTTCCTACTTCCATTATTATCTGTGAGTTATTTCTAAGTATCTGACAGATCAAGACACATTTCTGATACAAAGTTATTTCTAAGGAAAAAAGGGGGGGTCAAACAAAAGCCATAATCATAAGCCTGTTTAGTGTTTATCCACAAGCAACGACTCCAGGGCAGAATAGTTACAGAAGCAAGAGAAAAAAGTGTCTGGCTTCTGGTTAAGTCTCAGTTAACCCTGATCACATAGTAACACTAAAGCAACTAACAGCTGCTACATGTCCAAGCCGATGTTAAAAAAACAGCTAAGCATCACTGACAAATGGATCTCAGAAATGATTGACATGACAAACATAGAGACAGCTTGGCATGGTACACTACACAGAAGACTGTTGCTTTGATGCAACAATCTAGAAGGTCCATATTAGTCATTTTCAGCTGGAGCAGCAAGAGGGTGGTCTTGCTCCATAAGACATTTGACAATGTTTGAAGGCATTGTGAGTTATCACAATAAGGACATGCTACTGCAGCTAGTAGGCAGACATATCCTGCAATACTAGAACAGTCTAGAATTCTAAGATGTCATTGGTGCCAAAGTCAGCAGCTTTTTAGATCCAGCTAATTTCCAGGAGACAGAAAAGACATGTGAAGGACAAAAGCAAATACAACAAATAAAACCTAATCTGGAAAATTCTAAGACAACTTCCTCCTCCTCCCCCTCCTCCACTCCTCCCCCTCCTCCTTCTTTTTCCTTCCCCTCCCCCACACCTCCTTTTGAGGTTTTAATTATTTATGTGCATGAACTTTTTTTTAAATCTTCCACAGTAAAGAATAACTTTTTAGAATACAAACTATCAACTAGGTGTGGTGGCACACACCTTTAATCCCAGTACTCAAGAGGCAGAGGCAGGTGCATTGCTATGAATTCAGGAGCAGCCAGAGCTGCACAGTGAGAACCTTGTCTCAAAAAACAAAAAACAAAAACCTATGTAAACTTCGAGCCAATACATTTTATACACTTTCATTCCTAATACAAAGCTTAAGTCGGGTGTGATAGTGTGTTTATGATCCCAGCACAGTAAGTAAGATCACAGTAAGGCCAATTTGGGACGCATGAGACATGTCCATTCTGTTGAGATGTGATTAAAATTCTGACTTCTTCCTTATAGTCCCTGTGGAATGGAAGTGCTTCTCACACCAATTTATAGTGATAGTAAATATCAGATACTGCTGTGGCTCCCATACACACACACACACTGGCATTTAAAAGATTTTCAATTATGTGTATCTCAGTTGGGGCATTATATGCAGGTGCGGGCAGTTTCGCACTAAGTCAGAGGTACCAGAGTTACAAGTAACTGGACTGTGTGTTGGGAGCAGAAAGTGCTGTCGTTTGAGCCCACAGCAGATCAAAGCACCAAGAAGGAAGTATGAAGGCTCCTCGGTTCCTGATTTATGAGAATTGAATATATAAAAACAAATGCAATTTAGCAAAATGGGATTTACCTAAGGCCTGTGTGCATACAGAGTGCCTAACGCATCTCATTCCAGAAACAAGGATCTAGACTATGAATCTCTCTCCTCACCTCACCAAGCACTCAAAAAGTGGTTAAGGTCTGGTGAAATGGCTCATTAAAGAAAGGAAATTGTCACCAGGCCTCATGACCTGAGTTCAATCCCCAGAACCCCCATGGTTCTGGGAGAAGTGATCTCCCCACACGCATGCACACACTACACCACACACAGAAACACACACTAAATAAACTAATCTAGAAACTCAGTCCCTTCCCTTTCTCACTGTGGCTACTTGCTTGCTTATATTCCACCCTGTTTTTCCAGAAAGATCCAAAGCAGTTGTACTAACAACATTGGACTTGGCTGGAGGGTACTCACATGGAAACACTCCAAAGACTTTCACTCTCTCAAAGTAGCATTCCTTCAGCCCCAGGACATTTGGAATAAAGCTTCATTTTTACACATTTGTAAATAAAGGATAAAGGCACACAGCCTGTGGGCTGGCAGTATAGCTCCTGGTGCTCTTTTTGTGAAGATGGGCCTTTCTCTTTCTGGTAGTGGCCAGACTCTGAACTGGAAGACAAGGTGTGGCCAAGCATGGCAGTCTATACCCTTGAAGTTTTAGTTCCTTTATGTGCAAGAGAGTATGATGCCTGCCCTGCTGCCCTAACAACTGGAATTTATATTGCTCTGAATTCAAAAAGTGCCATAATATGCCATTTATCACCATCGTGTTCATTCACAAAATGTTCATGATTCATGAACACTCTAGGCACACATGCACCCATCCTTACCAACTCGAAAACTACCAGAGTCAAGTCAATTATCTGCATAATGTCCAAAATGAGAGGAAACAGAAATGAGTTCCTAGTCCTCCTGCATCATGATGATGGATCTACCACAACACCTGATTGATGCATGGCTAGGGATCCAACCTAGGTCATGATGAGTGCCAGGCAGACACTCAACCAAACTTCTGTGTCCTTATACATGGTCTCCTGTGTAACCCTGGCCAGCCTAGAATTTGCTATGCAGACTTGGTAGCCGGCCCGGAGCCCCTAAAGACCTGCTTGCCTCTGCACCCCATCAAACCCAGCACCTGACAGTTTCTTATAGACCTCAAAGATTCCTCTTCGCTTATTTCATAGTACACAATACAGCAGTTTCTGTTTTGACTGTTATTATTTATACATTATGCAGAGAATGTTGTGATTTATATACCTTACCCCAACAGTTACAAATTGATCTATCTGTCATTATACAGAAATACATTTTCAACATGTAACTATTTTCCAAAGTAATCTGGAAAATATAGTCAAAAGGATAAAAACTGAGAAATTTTATCTGGTTACTTAACCAAAGCAATGTAATAAAACTGTAGATTTTAACCAAAATGGATCTTGCACTCTATTATTTAACGAGCTTTGGGAATCCTGTTAATGTTTAAAGTTTCTTACTTCAAAAGCTTGATGTGCTAAGGCAGGGCAAACATAGTGTCTTAAAAATAGACTGCCATCAGACCATCACCCCTAATCCACAAAAGAATCTGCCAAGAGATTTCAACAACAAGAGGCATATTGTAGGCGTTTCTGTCCATCAACAACTCTAACAAGTTGATTAAAATGCCAAAGGTGAAAGAAACTAAACACTGTGCAAAGACTGAAGCAGACTCACAGCAGTTTCTCTCATCAGATCCATCCGAGCAGTCGCTCACGTGGTCACACCTGTATTCTCTTGGAATACACTGGCCGTTGGAGCATGCCATCTGCTGACTTGAACACGTGGTCCCAGCTGCAAAGAAGAAAGAGAACTTCATTTATAGTCATTGCTAAATACAGGCTAGCCCACCAATGTTTACCAAATATGAAAGATGACACCGGAGGACAAAAATAGGCAGAGACCATATATTTGATATAGACTTCACAGTGACACACATAAAAGCATGGCATTATGAAGTACAGACACTTATGTTAGCTAATGTGTTTGGTACAATATACATTTAAAGGGTGTATAACAGAAGGTGAACCAGATATGGACATTAACCAAAGATATGTACAGGGGTAGAAGAAGGATAATTCAGTGGTTAAAAGCACTGTTGCTCTTGTAGAGAGCCCAGGGGTCAATTCCCAGCATCCACATGGTGGCTCACAATCACCCATGACTCCTGTGTTTCACAAGCTCCATCACCCTCTCTGGCTTCATCGGGCTCCTGCATGCACACAGTGTGCACACAATCACTCAGGTAAACACACATACACATTAAAGTAATGAATGAATAAATGGAAAACCACAAGAGTGGCTCAGACACACAGGAATTCCAGCATTAGTGTCACAGGAAGGAATGATGGATGACACATGCCTATACTGCCAGGACCTGAGAACGCAAGGTAGAGAGAGCTAAGAGGATCAGAGTTCCAGTCTAGCCTGGGCTAATTTACAGGAAGAGGGAGATATTTGGGGTCAGGGGAGAAGGATGGCAAAGACATTTTCCTCTCTTACAGATGGATAGACCAAGATATTCACACAACAGGCTGGGGGGCAAAGAGATAACTGACCCAAATGCACAAAAAGACTCTTTCACAATAAGCATCCCTCCCCCCCCCCCCCCACACACACACACACCTGGCAGCATGCAGAGAAGGCTGGAACAAGGAACTGCAAGGAACGGTTTTTAAGAAGGTACCAGAAAGAAAAAGACATGGAAGCATAAGCATTCGTATCTTCCTGGAGGTCACTGAGAGCCATACCATGGCTGGTAAAGGGTTTATTGGATATTTGTTTTTTGTTATATTTGGATCTCACTCGGTCACCGTGGTTAGTCTAGAACTCATTGCGCAACCCAAATGGCCTCAAATTCATAGCATGTGCCGATACCCAGTCTAAGTGGACCTTTGCAGCAGTGTCAGGCAACACCTCATGCACCGGTCACTCACAAAGCACCCCGTGAGTGGAAGAGTGAATGGGAAAGTAGCACTAAGCCTTGGGAAGGTTCAGCCAGGAGCAAGAGACTGAGCGTAGCATGAGGGGGAGAGGAGGATCAAGAATAGCTTCTGTGTTCCCAGCACAGGTTCCAGAGGGGCTGTGATTTCTTTTTACACCTGTCAATGGCATCCTTCCTTCTACTCACAGAAATCTATTTCAACAGGGTACAGGCAAAAGATCTGGGACCTACGCATAGACTTCAGTTCTATCAGGCCACAGAGCAAAGAAATGCAGGAGGGGCTCACTCACTGCTACTATTTTAATTTCAGCTATACTTCAAATTAAAGCCTGATGAGCTAACCAGTTCCAAGCCTCGGGGGTCTAATTCTGTAGTACAGCCACACTTTGTATGACCCAGCCTCTTAGTGAGATTACCAGCATATTACCAGACAGTCTAAGGCCTGGCCCAGTGTTGACAAAGAATTTGCTCACCTAGCTCTAACAGGCTAGTCTTCAGGTGATAAAGAACCAGAAGAAAATACCACGCCCTCAACACTTACCGCAATTCTGATGTTCATCGGCGCCATCTGAACAATCCTTTTCCTGGTCACACACCCAGGAGCGGGAAATGCAGGTCCCCTCAACAGGACACAGGAAAAAGCCTGTCCCACAGGAATGGGGAGCTGAAACACAAGAAAAGAGGGCTTATGCTGGCACACATCTGCCCCATATACAAACAGCAGTGCTTGAAGAAACCCTATGTCAACCCTTGCTCCACACGGTTAAGGGTAATTAGTCAATAACCATTAGAGTAGCCTGCCCAGGTTCACTGTCAGATCATCTCAGCAATGGCATCCAAATACATATAAGCAGAGAATAAAGCAAACATACATACACACAAATCTAAGGAAAAATCATCAAAATCCAATTTATGTAAAAAAATTAACTAACATCCGGTAATAGTGTCACGATGGGTGGTAAATACACTAACTGTAAAGAGAAAACCAAGAATAATTATTTCCACATTTACTTGTTTTAGGAATCTTACTGAGTTCTGAGCCTTAATGTCTACATCCTAAAAATGAAGAAAATGATGTATGCAAAAGAGCCATGTAATGCTAGCTGTCATTTGTCACAAACACTGTTGTCATTGTCATAGGACACCAAAATGTCTAAAGACTTTGACTGTCCATGTACGCTTGCATTCTGCTGCTGTTACTTAAAAACACTAAGAACACAGGAGTCAAAGTGGATTACTACAAGATCATATGGTGGTGTTCCACACTATCATATTCCATAACTACAGCTCTGCTCATTCAAGGGATGACTCAGAAAATAAAAGCATCAACTAGACACTAGTAAGAATGCAAAAATAGCCGGGCATTGGTGGCACACGCCTTTAATCCCAGCACTCAGGACTATCCCCAACACAGAATAAAAGTTTGCAGTTTTACAAGCTCCCAGGTGGTCTATTTATGCCTGAAGTGTGAGAGACCCCAAACTCTTGCTCTTCATCCCTCCCATTTTCAAATGCATCACTGAAATGTGACTGCTCAACTGTGCCGTGGGGTGGCCAATTCAAAACTCATGTTGTCACCTGTTTGCATGCCTGTTGATCTGTCAGAAAGAAGAAGCCCATTGACTCATTGCCTATGAAAAGTCAGGGGGAACAAAGGACTTGAGGACAGTGACTTGAGAGCAGCCTGTGACACTTGTGTGGCACCTGTACTAAGTGACTCAGCTAATCTGAAATCCACTCAGGACAATGCTGAATGATATATATAAAGCAATATGAAGAAATGTGTGAAAATGGTTTAAAAGTAGATAAATAAAATAAATTAAATGTTGTTTTATTTAAATATTTTAATAACATAAAACCAAACTAGCCATTATTATGTTCTTCATGGTAACTCACAAGTTGTTCTGCACACACACACACACACACACACACACACACACAAACCACAGTAGTTCACATAACATCTTTAGATTTACAGAATTTTCCAGGTGATTAGCCAGCAAACCATAACTTTCAAGCTTCAGAAAACCAAGTATAAATTCATTTTCAGTAAAAGTCGAAGTCACAGACTCACAGCAAGGAACTGTGTAAACTGATGTAAACTGAGGCCTTCCCTCCAAAGGGAGTAAAAGCTGACACTAACACCAGTTCACAGTGTTAGCCCAGCCCTGGGTCTCTCACCCGAGCACAACCTCTTGCTCTATCCTCTCATTTTCTCTCTGTTACAGCTGAAATCATGCAGCACTCAAAACAAAGCCACGTCTGGCTCCTCATCACTTACGACAGCCAATTTCATCTGTGTCATCCAAACAGTCTCGAGTCCCATCACACCTCCATGCTGCAGGGATACAGTGTCCATTGTCACAGCGAAAATTCCCACTGCCACATTCTGTAATAACCAAAAAACAGACATTATTTGAAGACTTAGGATATTGAGAGACCATGTCTCAAATAATAACAACAAAATCTTTTAAGATATTGTATGATGGGAGGGGAAGCAGGGAGGAACTGGGAGGAGTAGACCGAGGGGAAACTGTAATCAGAATGTGAGAAAAATATTTTCAATTAAAAAAAAATAAGTTTTTCATGAAAGAAATACAAATTAGGGATGGAATGAAAAAATATTCAACTATTTAGTAGCAAAAGAATGCAAATTATGTGTAAAATTAGGAAAGCAATTTCACACTGATAACATAAAAGACATTTGTTTGGACATCTGCAAGAAGGATACTTTCATACACAGTTGATTAGCGTACACCTTGACACAGCCTGTCCAGGAATCAATTTGACAGTGTGCACCTTGCTGTTTAAAAATGTTTACACTGCCAGCCATGGTGGCACATGCCTTTAATCCCAGCACTCAGGAGCTAAAGTTGGGACTTTCCCATCTACTTACTTCTCCTTTTTCCTTAGGAACTGGAGATGAACAAAGTAGCCTATTCCCTAGGAATAGATCACTTAGTGAGTTTGCACATTCCTTGGGGAGCATTTTTGCAAGGGAGGTTGTTCAAAAAACAAAATAAAGATCAAGATTTGAAATACTTTCATCACAAAACAAACTACAACACTCCTATCCAATAACAAAGAGGTTGTATTTTCTTTTTTTTTTTTAATTAGTTCAAATTAAGAACAAGCTTGTTTCACATGTCAATTCCTTCTCCTCCAGGGCAAGCAAGAGTGCATCCCTTCACATGGGATGGGCTCTCAAAGCCCCTTCTTACGCCAGGGAAAAATACTAATCCACTACCAGGGGCCTCTAGATGTAGAGGCCTCCTCATTGACATCCATGTTCAGGGGTCTGGATCAGTCCCGTACTGGCCTCCCAGACAGCAGTCTGGGGTCCCCCCTTGTACAGGCCAGCTGTTTCTGTGGATTTCACCAGCCTAGTCCTGACCCCTTTGATCTTCATTCCTCCCTCTCTGCAACTAAGTTCCAGAGTTCAGTTCACTGTATATCTGTGGGTGTCTGCCTGTGCTTCCATCAGCCACTGGATGAGGGCTCTAGGATGGAATAAAAAGTAGTCATCGGTCTCATTATAGGGGAAAGGCATTTAGGCTATCCTCTCCACCATAGCCTATATTGTCAGTTCATGTCATTCTTGTAGGTCTCTGGAAATCTCCCTAGTGCCAGATCTCTCCTCAGACCTATAATGGCTCCCTCTAACATGGTATCTCGCATCCTGCTCTCCTCTATTCTTCCCCCAACTCAATATTTCTGCTCCTCCATTTCCTCCTCTCCTCTCCTCTTCTCCTCTCATTCTGGCAGCTCCCTCTCCCCTACCCTCATGCTCCCAATTAGCTCAGGAGTTCCTGCCCCTTCCTATCCCTGGGGTCCATGCATTTTCCCTTAGAGTCCTTCTTGTTTCCTAGTTTCTTTGGTGAAGAGGAAAAGGTTGCATTTTCTTATGTCTTTGGTATATTAGGGATCAGTGATAACGGTTTGAAAGAATTTATCGAAGACACAAGTTAGCACGGCTATATCATCGTTTGCTTAGATGTGGTGTTTTAATCCCCTTTCTTACATCTATTAACTGGTGTTTAAAGTCAGACCAACTTTGGCTGCTTTTTTCAAAAACTAATGTGTATGTTGTCAAGTCTACAAAACAAATTTTCTGCAACCAGAGGGCACAAACCAAAGATTGGCACATCTCAAGTGGCCGTGAAGTTGGAAAGGGGATATGACTTAAGCTCATTTCTTTTTTTTTTTTTTTTAGCAAATATTTCCTGCAATGGTCCTTGGGGACTAATCTAACAATATGTAGCCAGAGATCTTCCCAAGAATTTTGTGCCAAAGAGAAAAGTTTCTTCAAAGAGGGTGACCAACACAAATCCAACTTGGAGAAAATTCAAATTTATTTCACAAACTCAAGGAATAGTAGTATTTTTCAAAGTTGGAAAATTACATTTTCCTTATTTATTTGAGCAATCATGCTAAATGAGAAAATTCAGGTTTCTGTCTATAATTAACCCCACCTTAGCTAAATATACAGATGAATTATCTACTCCTAGAATAAATAAACAAGATGTTATCCTGACTGTGTAAATGCAAGCGTATCAACAGCAAGACATAAACAGAGCTAAGTGATCTATTCCTAGGGAATATAGGCTACTTTGTTCATGGAATGTTCAAATCTGATTGTCTGGTAGTGACACCCTGATTTATAATGTATGCTGCAAATGGTCAGAAACTTCCCTTGGCTAGATGGTGGTACCGAGTGGTACAGGAGTACGTACACCCAAATACCTTCTATAGACTAATGCATGGTGGTGGTTGGTGGTGCGGGCCTGGGGTTGGTGGTGCAGGTCTCTTATCAACTACCTTTAAAACACAACAACCTCCCTTGCAAAAATGCCCCTAAGGAATGTACAAATTCACTCTGGAATCCCAGAACTTCTCATTGGATTTTGTTCTACAAAGCAATATTTCCCTGGGAGATTAGGGGCTTTGGAGGTTCAGCTGTTAACACAACATATATTAAATCACTTTTATCAATCAGGTCTATTGTTAGCAATCCAACAGAATACATTTATGAGCTTAATGTGCTGTGTCTCTTAATAGCTAATCACTACTGAATGAAAAGTCATAATCACTATAAAGGACAATCTGGTCAGAGTTTTTATATTGTTGCAGAAAGAAAATTCTTAGGGTAGCATATTGCCTGTTTTGAAAATACACACAATTGATAATATTTCTTAAGTATTTTTTGAAGTTAATTCAAATAAAGTTTGTTTTTTATTTATTTTAATTTTGCTAAAATGCCAAAGTAAAATACTATAAAATATTACAAAGTAGATATAAAAATTATTTTTGTGAAATACTTCAAAGCCAATTATTTAAAATTAAAACTGGTGGGGAATGTTACATTTAAACTATAGGCCATGATTTCCAGTTTATCTTCCAGTTGCTACATTATCTAAAGTAAAACCTAATTTACTCAATTTGTCAATATTTAATTAATTAATTCATTCATTTGTCAAAATCATCTTTCAGTGGGAACTTCATGCCTGTTATAACTCTCAAATGACCATTGTTTGAAAATATCTTTCCAGAAAAAAACAGACACTTTATCATTGCTGTGTGGTCTAGATTAGAGCTTGATTACAATTGCAGATGTCCCCAATTTCAATTGATTCATATGTATTTTTAAGTGTCCTGTATTAATGAAGCAGCCTTAACTCACAAACCCTGCAAAGGTACCTATTAATCCTCATACCACATTGCAGAGTGCATTCAGCAGCAAATAATAAAGATACTGCTTGAAACTGGTAGTTCCACACCAGTAAATAAGCCCTATGACCACTGCACTGTGTTCTCTTTCATGCACACCAAATTACTCCATATTTAAAAATGAACATGGGCTTTTCATTCATTTTCTACAAACCTGCTATCACTGAGTTCAGGAGTCAGAGTTGTGTGGACTTCCACAGAACTCATGCACTGTTGGGAAGGGAAGCGTGCACTACTCTTGAAACTAATATTGCAGTAAGATTTGGGGAATTTTGCAGCACTCAGAAACAACAGAGAGAAATTCAAAAGAAATGTTGATACAGTCTGGAAATTTAAATCAAACATGGAGATGGCCTTCACCACTTTAGAACCCACGGGTGTTTGTGTAAGAAACGACAAGTTTTCTTCTTCATAAGTAGCTGAATCCAAAGCTTCCAGGCCTGAGTGTTGGACTAGGAAAATGTTAAGATAAGACCTGGAGTAGCAGATAGTGTCCAGAGGAGGTAAGAAGTCATTGTTTTCCAGGGCAGGGGATGGCCACTAGATTGACAAGGTCATCATTTACAGTGTCTAGCAGGACTCTGAGCAGTGTGGAATAATGAAGGCACACAGGTTAGGAAATCAGTAACAGAGCAAACAATGAATGGGAATTTATGATCCGAAAGTTTTAAAAGAATGAAGCCAGGTATGGTGGCACATGCCTATAATCCCAGCACTCAGGAGGTTGAGGCAGGAGGAGCTCTTGGGTGAAAAAGCAAAACCGTGTCTCATGAAGTCTGCATCGTGCTTTCAAGTCTGGAGTAAGCTACACACTTAGCAAAACTCCAAAGAAAGTGAAAAGAAAACAAATGAACTAATTTGAAATAAAGACCATAAAGAAGTTGTCTTTTAAAGATTTTATGTGTATGCGTTTGCTTACATGAGTGTATGTACAGCGTGTGTATGTAGGAATATGCAAATACACAGAGCTGGAACAACAGGCAGGTGTGAGCCACCTCATACTGGTGATGGGAAGCAAAGTCCTCTGCAAGAGCAGTGTGTGTTCTTAACTGCTAAGCCATCTCTGCTACCCCATGAAGAAAAAAAAAAAATTAAAGAGAAAACAGAGCATCATTATAAAAACCTTTCCATTCTTTTTTCTAACTTTATGGGTGGCTGTGTGTGTGTGTGTGTGTGTGTGTGTGTGTGTGTGTGTGTAGATGCATAGAGGTAACAGCTCCCTTGAAGCTAGGTGGCTGTGAGCTGCTCGTCAGGGGTGCCAATAAGAAATGCACAAGCTAATCCACCTGTCCAGTATTTTAACCTCCTGTCCTAATATGTTAGGTTGTGTTAAAATGATTCTTGCACATGATATTGCATTAATTGGTTTTGTGGGCTTTATTCCTAATTATTTGATATCTGCAAATGTCCTCTTAACATTCTGAAGTGCTGAAAAAGGAGCCTAATAGTTTATAAACTAGGTTAAGCATACAAGAGAATTTCAGGTCCCATTTAGTGTTCTGTTATGAAAACCAAGCAGCTAAAATGTTCCACAGAAAGCGAGGGTGTGGTCTTGCTTCAGTTTCATTAGTGAGCACATTACTCTCCAGTCATCGTTAGGCTGGGCAGGATGGTCCATATGATTTGTTACCTTGGCTGTCAATGAAACGGCATAAAGTTATAAACAGATAACCCTAAATCTCCAAAGGAGACTGACCTTCTATGTAGGTCAGAGGTGGAAATTATACTGAACCATTACTCATTATAAAAATTAGAGCTTAGTCTATCAGCTTCAAGGGATTTGAAATGAAGTATAGAAAATGTGAAGCAAAAAACCATGAATGAATTAAGGAATTGCTCTACATTTGTTTTTTAATTCAGTGAAGGAATTGTCACTGTGATTTATTAGTTGCACACATTTTGAAAACAGACACACAAACTTCAATCCCCAGGGAACCAAGTGTTTGGGAGGAAAAAAAATGTGAAGATATAGAGGGAAAAAAGAGGATTGGGGACAAATAACTCCACTGTGTTGACTTCCATTGACTGATGTTTGCCTCTTTTCTAAGAAGAGAATTCGTGAAAAGATTAAGAGAATGGAGGAGGAGGGAGCTGTGATGCTCAGTCAGATAAAAGAATCTGACCTAAGTTCGATCCCCAGAACCCATGGCAGGAAAGAGCAGATTCCCAGAAGTCATCTTTTCCCTTTAGACTTGTACTATGGCATTTGTACACACACACACACACACACACACACACACACACACACACACGCGGGTCCCCCATGCACACAATATAAATAAAGGAGGTGATTTCTTTTTAAAAACATAAGTAAGGGGTGGACAGATGGCTCGGCAGTTAAGAGCACTGACTGCCCTTCCAAAGAACCCAGGTTCAATCTCTAGCATCCACATGGTGACTCACAACCATATGCAACTCCAATTCTAAAGGATTGGGGCCCCTGGAGAAATGAATCAGCAGTTAAGAGCACTTACTGCTCCTGCAAAGAACGAGAGTTCAGTTCCCAGCACCCACACAGTGACTTATTTCCAGGAAATCCAGTGCCGTCTTCTGACCTCCGAAGGCACCAGGCATGCACATTATACACATACATACAGGAAAAACTCATACATTTAAGATAAAAATAAATAAGTCTTAACAAAATTTAGAAATAAAACCAAAAAGTATCATGTCAAAAATCACTAAAGCCACAAAAATAAAACACCTGATTCCTATGTGCAAACATTATTTTACTGTTTGTGGAAGAAATAAGGACAGTACTCTTTTCCATAGAGCTCACAGACCATTTAAGACTTATACAGCAACTACTATTAATTGGGTACATACATATATCCATTGGACCCCCTGTATCAATGGTATTTTCTTCTTAATATGACATGACACTAACCAACTTTCCCAGAGTCACACAGGGAGAAATGTCAGGCCAGTTCAGACTCTCGACCTGTGTGATTCAGGACCTGTATTCATTCCATCACCTCATTTCCCACAACTCTAGAACTTGCCTGCTGGATTTCACATGGTTTCCAGGGAGACCTTGCTGATCACCACAACCCTGTGAGAGTATTAACAGCCCCATGTATGGCACAAATGAGTTCCTCAGCTCATGGGTTCACACCTAAGCAGGCTGACTCCAAGATTAGACTGTAGTAGTAGATAATTTAGGTCTCAATAAGTAGTAAAGACAATGCAATGACAACTAAAGGCTAGATGGGATGGCACATACTTGTAATCCCAGCACTTCAGAGGCAGAAATAAAGAGTTCGGCCAACCCAGACTAAGCTTAAAAAAAAAAAAAAAAAAAAGTGTCCTGTGGGATGGGTGTAGAGAGTACCACAAGTCACCAGATTCTTGTGTGTGAAGCCCTTGTAAAGCAGAACAAGACTTTCTGATTTTTATGGGTACTTGGTAGATAAAGAAGAAAGCCAAGAGGATGGAGGGCATACTGAGGGGGAGTACTGAAAGAGATGACTAGAAAGGGGAGCTTTTGGGGGCCAGGTAGAAACTCCCATGAATCTACAAGGATGACCCTAGCTAAGACTCCTAGCAAAAGTGGATAGATAGCCTGAACTAGCCATCCCTAGTAATCAGATTCGTGACTGCCCCATTTGTCGGAGAAGCTTTATCCAGTAACTAATGGAAACAGAGACCCACAGCCAAACATTAGGCTGAGCTTGGGGAATCCCACTGAAGAGAGGGAGGAAGGATTGTAGGAGCCAGAGGAGTCAAGGACATCACAAGAAAACACAGAATCAACTAACCTGGGTTCATAGGGGCTCAGAGACTGAAGCCTACATGGGACCAACCTAAGCCCTCTATAAATGTGACAGTTGTGTGGCTTGGTCTATTTGTGGGACTCCCAGGAGTGGAAGCAGGGGCTGTCCCTAATGCTTTGGCTGACCCTTGGGAACCTATTCCTCATACTGGATGGCCTTGTCCAGCCTAAATACAAGGAGGTGCTTAGTCTTACAGCAACAGAGTGGTAGAACAGAGGGGGGAAAAAAAGAATGTTGGACGTAATAATGCATATTCATGAGTCTGGCAATCAAGAGGCCAAGCTGGGCTACATAGATAGTGAGATACTGTCTCAAGCAAACAAAATGACAGCAAATGGCAGGATGGTCATGGTCACTGTTGTGGGCTATATTAAAACTATAAGAAGATAAACCTAAACTAGTGTCCAGACATGGCTATGAGGATTTCACTGCCCAGACTCTCATGCAGAGTAGAGTCCAGAGAGTAGGATGCTGGGCGGTCCCCATAAGACTGCCAGCAGAGATAGGTCCAGATCTAAAACATCTGTTTGCATGGCGATTGTTAACAGGTCCTACTTCATAGGGCACAGACACCTTAGTGACTCTTGCCCATCATCCTCTCCAAAGTGAACGTGTGAGAGGACCCAGCCTGCAGAAATCGTCATAAGATCAGTTCAACTCCAAAGTCTTTACATAGGTATACCCAGGCTTTTCCATGACCAAAAGCCAGCAGAATGTGGTGTAGCCTGTCTATGCTGAGCAATGAGGAATTGAGGAAACCAAACCACCATCTTTTATAACTTACTACTCTTCTCCTTTTTCATCTAACAGTAACTAGTCAGTCTGCATGCAGCCTTGATCTCTCTTTGGGGGTCTCTTGTACACTGCTGTTTTTTTCATTAGGCAACTCCCACCATGCAATCATTGTGTCTGTCAGCACTAGAGGACATTATAAACTAAGTCACACTTCTCAAGGCTTCTAGAAAGGATGCTATTGATGTTTGAAATGGAATAGTTATCCATCTTTTAGAACAGTCCTGAGCAACTCAGAAATCAAGGCACACCAGCTCTGACCTGGGCAATGTCAAGAGTGTCCACCCCACTGTCTCAGAAACAAAACCACTAGCTAGCGGTACCACCCACACCCAGTAGCCACCAAATCCCAGAATCTAAGCAGACCAGATACTCAAAAAACTTCAAAATGTCTTAACATGAACGATCATCTAAGAAAGCCCCTAAAATAAATTCTTCCCTTCTAAAAGATAATAAAATTTCTTAGACAGCAATTGCACTCCTTCTCACCCATCAATAAGATCTGAGATTGGGAAATATCACGCCGCAGCTGCTGGTACCAGTAACGTGAAATGAACTCCCCTGGGAGTGCGATAAAGAATCTTAAATTGCAGGGAGGCCTATTTCACCCTGGAATGTTCCAGAGTATCCACAGGCTTCCCCATTCTAGGGGAGGGAGAGGTCAGGCCAGGAAAGCAAAGGACCAGACATCAAAAACCCTAAGGGACTTCTTCAGTAATGTGAAAGCTCACTGCTGTGAAAGCCAGAGCCATAAGCATACCTTCCTTAGGATGAAGGCATCTGACCCAGATAATTTCCTCATTATCGTCCTCTCACTCTTCACCAGATACACTTACAAAAATGTATCTAACTTGGAAATCCATTATGGGTCTAAAACATCCCTCCTAGACTGACCCAAAGAAGTGGAACTGGGTCCCATGGTTTTCCTGCTAGTCTGAAATCCCTGCAGCTCTGCCCCTGGCTGCTAAGTCATGGGGGTTTGCAGAGGGGTCCCCCATACATGGAACAGCAGCCCCGAACCTCCCTCTTCTCTATAGGAGAACTCTCACAGAATGTCAAAAAGAACTCTCTCTCACAGAGGAAAATTTAAGATGGTCTGTTGGCCCCCATAAATAAGGACCCAATGAATCAAACCCTTTCAGAAAAGGGTAAAATACCCTTCAACACTTAATGATTTAAAATACTCAGAAAAAAAAAAACTATAAATCACCCATTCACACACAGACTCAAGATGTTTTCTAACCCAGATCAGTCAAAGGCTGTCTATTGGCTTCTTAAATATATTAATAATATTAAAAAAATAATTGAATGGACTCAAACATTACAAACAAAATTAGTTATTCATGAGAAACAAAAACACACATCTCCAGGCAGGCACTTGCCTGTTGAAGGGTTTTAAATGGACAAGAGAAAAGCCCAACGCACCACAGCATTTATAGTATCAAGCCAGAGGAAATATAAGAGAATAAAAGAGAGAAGGAAGAGTTCAGAAAGAAAAATATTATTCCTAGACACTGAATTCAACGACATTGGGCATCCGAAGCACTAGCCTTTGTTTTAAAGTTAAATCTAGAGCCAGGCAGTAGTGGCACACATCTTTAATCCCAGGACTCGGGAGACAGAGGCAAGTGTACCTCTGTGAGTTTGAGATCAGCCTGGTCTACAGAGCTAGTTCTATCCAGGACAGCTATGGCTGTTTCACAGAGAAACCCTGTATCAAAAAAAGAAAAAAAAATTATGTCTGGTATCTTATACCTTGTTTTCAAGTGGGTACAAAATAGCAATTCAACCTTATTTACTATGACTCAAATCCATATTTCACCAGCATGTCACTGCTATATGCCTTTCTAGGTCACAAATTACATGGTAGGGACAAAACTGCTTCTCATTCAGAATGTATTTTTAGAAAATACATACCAGGTATTCATACATACATTTGTGTTTGTGTGTTCATTACACTTAGTATGTTACTATCAGTTTATTAAGGGACACAAATTAAATAAATATAATTTTAATTGAAGAGGAAAAAAGCTTCAGGTTATCTGTTGCAAACCACAGTCATTTGGCCCTGGCTCAAATAGCATTTATAGGCCTTCAAATCATTCCCAGGCACTATAAATGTCATCACGTCATATTATGTGATCATGATGACACAATTCAGAGGCTTGTTGACACAAAACCACAGCATTGTATTTCACCAGCTGATACTCATGCATGATATACTGCTACCCTATTTTCCGCCTATGTGTTGGGAATTATGCTGTCCCAATATGAATAACTGCTTCAATAAATTAAGCTTACGGCCAGAAACAGGAAGAGGAAGAAAAAACATTTTACCTGATGTGTTTTAAGTATCATTAGTAATTAAAGATTGTGTTACGATAAACACAATTAAATTTTATTATTACATTTGTTTACTTGCAAGGGTTTATATGGAGGTCAGAGGATAACTTGTGGGAGTCAGTTCTCTCCTTCCACCATGTGGATATTCAGTATCAAACTCGGGTATTAGGATTAGCAGCAACTTTACCCACTGGGCTCACTCACTCACACACAGACAGACAGACAGACAGACAGACAGACAGACACACACACACACACACACACACACACACACACACACACACACAAATTAATGTGAAGTTTTAAAAAGCATTAAAGATATACATTAGCTACATTATCAGAGTCCTCAACCTTATATGGTAGAAAAACACAATTGCAAAAATGTTCTCTCACTGAAAGAACATTCACCAGTGCCTTTCCAAATACAGTGAAAAGAAAACTTAATCATTCTAAGCCATTCTTTTATTTGTGGTTGGACATGAATAAGAAAGGCCATCCAACTCCTCCTCCAAAGGTGAACCACTGCCATGATCCCATCACTGCTAATGAAACCTCGGAACTTGGAAAGCAAAGGCAGGCTCTCTGCTAAGTACCAGGGAAGCACAAACTAGAGTGAGACCATATAATATAGATGTGTGTGTGTGCTTGTGTATATGCGTATATATTATAGTTAGTTAAACTAAGTATTCTTCATACAGTAAACTCAGCTCAAGCAAACAGACAATTATTAATAAACAGGAAAACCACTGCTGGTAAAAGGACAATTGTCAGCAAATGCGCCATCTTTACAACCATTCATTCTCCTCCAGTGAACCAAGTCAACTAACCAAGATCCATCTAGAATCTAACAAATCAGAGCAAGTCAGTCCTTGCTTGCAAAGCTTATACTCGGTGCTTCCTTTCACTCAGCCCTTCCTAAGTCTGCTGGGTAAGTTAGAAAGGCGGAAAGGCATCTAAGCTTAAAAGGCTTTCCCAATAGTCCGAGAATTAGAGCCTTATCTATCTAGTCAAGGGATCCTACCTCCACCTCCCTATCTGAAAATCCCTTCTCTCTCCCTTGGCTTGCCAGGATTTCTTGGCCTCCAAATTCTCCCCCTAAATGAGCTTGTTCACAGAATATTTTAAAAGAATGTTTTCCAAGAGCATGTGCACTTGCTGAAATAGGAAGTCCATGAGGGAACTCACTTTGCAGTTGTGGCCATTTCCCAATGCCCAAATACCTTCCCTGCTGCTCAATGAGGCAGACTGGAGTGAAACGGTATCTTAGAACAGTCCTTCACGTCATATATTGTTACAAACCTTTTGCTGAAGCCAAAAATCTCATCAGGTTAAGCGTTTTTCTATAAAAGCACAGAACAGTTAAAACAACGGTCAAAAGGCTTCCCAAGAGGACCTAGGGACCTGTCTAAAACAGTGTAATAAATCTTAGGTTAAACTTAACTAAAAAGAAAAGGCCATGGGGAATATTGGAGGGGCAATTTGACTTCCAAGGCTTTAAAAGAAGCAACAACAACAACAAAAAAAAAAGATGAAATAGTGATTTGAAACCCCTGCTGCACTGCTCAAGCAGCCACTTTCACTAGAAACACAGGATTCACCAATTCCACCCAAATAGAGCTCACCTCAACACGAAGCATCCCCGTGGCACAGGCTTCCAGAATAAGGGAAGGACTCATATTTGTGAAACTGCCATGTACAACCATGTTTGTTCTCATCACTGAATTAATTCAGGTGAGTTTCTCTCCCTGTTGGTTCATCTATTGCTACATAAGGAATCATTATTTGTTCATGTGTGAGTTTATGTATTCCTCCTTCCTTTAAGCCTCTCCTGTCTAAAAGCCACCAGCTCTCCCACAGAACGTTAAGAGGCTAAGTGTGAATTGTCAGATGGTCGCACACTACTGATAATGCCCTGTAAAATTACAGTGGGGTGAGGAAGGGGCAGAGAGAAGACTACTTAGAAGCTAAAAACACTGCCGAGGGTTAAGTCCCTGACATCATATACCCCAGACTCAGACACCAGCTCTGCCTCTCACCCTATGAAAGTCATGTTACTTACTGTCAGTGTCTGGTTTTCCTCAAAGGATAGTGATGATAAAAGCCCTTTTCCAGAGCCTGGCAATGTTGGCTCACACCTTTAATCCCAGCTCTTGGGAGGTGAAGGCAGGTGGATCTCTGGTCAGCCTGGTCTACGTAGTAAGTTCTAGGACAACCAGGGCTATATAGTACAACCCTGTCTCAAAAATCCAAACAACCACAGCAAAAATCCAGGCTGCTAATGGAATCACTGCCATAGACACTGCTGAGCTGGGGGTCTGATATTTCAAAACCAGAGAACACACACTTTTTTTTTTTAAGGCAATGTCTCATCTAGTCTTTATAAAATGGAGACATGGCCAACTTGGTAAAGTACTTGCCACTCAATCCCCTGCACCTACATAAAAAAGCCAAGCCCCGAGGCAGAAACTGAAATTCCAGAGCAGGGGAGATGGAAGACAGAGATCTTGGAAGCTTGCTGACCAGTCCAGCCCAATCAGTGAACTCCAGGTTCAACAAGAGACCCTGCTTTAAAAGATAAGGTGGACATCGGTTGAGGAAGACACTGATGTCACATTCGCCTCCACCTGCACATACTTGTGTGTGCACATAGCAGCACACATACATACATACATACATACATACATACATACATACATACATACTAAACAAACAACATCTGATCACTATACTTCCCAGCTTACATTTCTTCAAACCCACCCAAATTCTCAGCTGGTCAGAGGAAGCCTTCCCCATGCAGCATTCCAGCTCCAGCTCCTGGCACACCCTCCTGGAAGACTGAGTTCAAATAGGCCACATATGAGTCTTCCTGGCCACCTCGAACAGACTGGATTACATCATCCCCTTTGCTGTGCTCCCAAACCTCTGGTACAGCATCATATATGTTTCCACATCTCACCATCTATGTGCAACTGGTCCATGATACCACATGCAAATACTTGTATAAGAAACACATGAGTTATCGCTCTAATGGGAATGATTAACCCGACATACATAACCTCCACTCCCAAAGTCAAAGTCAACTTTAACCTCATGTGCTCATCTCTCAGCAAATCCTTGACCAGAGAGGGCATGCGGCCCTCTGACTACACCTGTTCCAACCAGTCTCATCCTCAGGGTTGGAAGGGCACAATAAACTAAAGAAAGTCAAATGGACAGGATCTCTCTCCTGAGAAATTTGAACCTTTTCATAATTTGGCATTGTGTTTTCACCTTAACATCTGAAATATGAAGATCCAAAGTGTCCTTGGGAACAGACAGGCAGGTGGCAAGGCCTTGTCTTCCACCACTGCTTTGTCTGGTAGTTTCCCTTCCTTTAAGAAGCTGCATGTTTCCCCCCTCAGCAGTTTCTATAGATAGAAGTTGACAGGTGGTTTCTGCATTTCAAAAGCCCACATTGGCAGGCTCCTCAGCAGCCCTGACCCAACCAGGAACTGGTCAAATGTGAATGATTTGGCATCAGTTCCCTGTGGGGCCAAATATTCACTGAACACTCACCAAGTGCTAGTACCTTGCATGTTCACAATGACCTGTAAATATTCCCAAAAGGCAGCAATCAGGACCGACATTGTACCATTGAGGAAACTGAGGTTCAGAGGTCAAGTGACTCACAGGAATGCTGCTGGAAGACAACCCTCAGCTGAATCTCCAAGTCACAGCCTATGTCTCAACATGAGGCTAACTCAGGCCCCAGGCTAACTGACATTCAGGATCTTTGAGCAGACTGGGAAGGGTTTGGAGTAGCCAGGGGGCCTCTAAAATCATAGAAAAAAAAAAAGCCAAGTTTGGCTTGGTAGCAAGAGCTGTAAACTTAGCCCAAGGCAGGCCATGTGTGTACATGCATATTCATGTGTACAGTCTGTGTGGACATGCTTACAGTGGTCAAAGATCTATATCAGGATGTTCCTGCCTCTCTCTCTCTATCTATCTATCTATCTATCTATCTATCTATCTATCTATCTGTCTATTTCTGCCAATGACTGAGCTGTGCCCCCAAACCTGAGGCAATCTATGATCAGTAGATTTGAGAAAACCATGGGGAGTCTCCTTTCCATAAAATAGAAGTGATTTTAGCATAGAATTGTTGCAAATATATAAATATTTACAACTTAGATATTTCTTCCTGACATGGCCCTAAACAATTTATATCATCTATCCTAAGGAGATGAATCATCCATGGTGTTCTCAAGGGCATGGGATATACTTTTGTAATATTCTGACTCACAATTAAAGACTAGAACATTTGTCATTTAATGTCTGACTCGGTGATATGTCCCCATAGTTATATCCCTATGAAGGCTGAAACAAGAATTTAGCTGTGTTGTTTCTATATTTTCAAAACATAACCAAATTTTATAAATGAATGTGTCTTTATATAGCCCAGTAAGCAGGGGGTGTCCCTTCAAAGGTAGAGCAACTTGCCAAGCATGTTCTTGGCCCTGTATTCACAAAAACAAGCAAACAAACACAAACCTATATTTTGCCCCTGCTAGGAATAATGGTACATGCCTGTAATCCTTTAACCCCAGCACCTGTGAGGTAGAAGCAAAAAGAACCAGGAATTTAAGGTCATCCTCTCACTATATAGTGAGGTTGAGGCTAACTCAGGCTACATGAGGCCCTGTCTAAAGTGTGTGTGTGTGTGTGTGTGAGAGAGAGAGAGCGAGAGAGAGAGAGAGAGAGAGAGAGAGAGAGAGAGAGAGAGAGATAGGCCTGGCCAGATAATTCAGTGAGTGGAGATGCTTGCTACTCAGCCGAAGGACCTCAGTTCAATCCTTGGAATTCAAATGGTGAAACTAGAGACCCAACTCCCACAAATTGTCCTCTGCCCTCCATACTCATGTCATGTGCTATGGTAGGCACACACATACACAGAGAGAGACAGATACATAGATAAGCTTACTCTAGCCAAGAATCAAGCCCTGTTCATCACTAATGCAGTTGAAAAGTTGATCTTATATTAGACTGCATCTCCCTAGTGTCACCACGGAGGAGTTGGCTTAAGTTCCTCCTAGATCCATCTCCTGAAATGTGCTAAGATGAAGGGGCAAGGTCCCTCAAGCCTGACTTTTCCTTAAAACCATGGAGTAAAAGTTACCCTGGTGTGTCCTTCTCAAACTAAAGCCAGCTTCAGCATCCACATAACCAAAGTAGGGCTGGCAGAGAGAGGATGAGACAAGAGAGGGACCATCTCTAATCCATCATCGATAAAATGACTCAGAGATCAGTCTTTCATCTAAGTGTACAATGTACTGATTTAGTAACTTATTCACAAAATTGATGGAAATTGTTAACAAGGAGTTAGTTGATTTAAGTCACCTGATTACCACAGTTAATTAACCATGCTAACTTAATCTTCTTTGCAAACATCAACTAATCATTTCCCAGGTGTCCAGGGAGTAATTCCTTGAATAAAAAATACCCCTCTCCCCACTTCGAAGGAGGCTCTTGAGTGTTTTCTTTTCAGATTCCAACCAAACAACAAGCAAGATCTTTTTCTTACATAGCTATATTGAAAGGGCTTCCATCTTTCCGTGGCTTCCCCTCCCCCCACCCTTCCATTATAATAAAGGAGATCCAGCCGTGCGACTTTACCGACCATGTCATTTTGAATTACTTCAAAAACCAGCAGAGAACACTTCTTGAATAAAAATGAACAAATGAAAGGCAATTGAGACTTTCATCTAGGAAAGTGAATTTCCAGAAAAAAAGACTTAAAAATGCTTCATTTGCTGAGGCTGGTTATAAAGGATAAGCACAAATGAATGGGGGCGGGGTTGAACCGTCCTAATCCTGACTGTGGAGGTTGTTACACTAATATATATACATATTAATATTTATAGAAATAGAGGCTGGGTTGTAGCTCACGCTCAGCATGCAAGGGTCTGTCTAGCATAGTTCCAAAAGATTACAATAATGCACACACTTAGTCTATGTTAACTTACAATAAGACGGAGCAACTCATAAATACAAACATTCAAAGCCTGCTGCTGCGAAACCCGTAAAAATGTATTGACTTTTACATATATAAAAAAACGAAGGTTAGTGGGGTATGGTGGTGCACGGCTTCAATTCTGTCACAGAGGCAGGGAGATCTGTGAGTCTGAGGCCAGCCTGGTCCACATAGTGAGTCCAGCCAAGACTACATAGTGAGACCCTGTCTCAGATGAACAACAATCTCTCACCCCTGCCACAAGAAATGGTGAGCTAGGAAAACAATCAATGTTACAGGGGCAATCAGAAATAGCCCATGGACTTCCCTATCTATTCAGTGAGTGGTTCTGCCATTTTTCTTTTAATAAAGAGAGCCAACTGTCTTTGATCTACCCAAGCAAATGTGAAGCAGAGAACCTCTGGAAGAGGTCATGACAATAAGGCACACTTAGACCCCCTAGAGAGTACTGGGACTTTAATAAAGGGCCATCTCTCTTTACTTCTCTTTCTAGTTCCTTCAGTCACATCAAAATGTCTGAAAAATAATTGTAAATTACAAGAGGATTCTGCTACACACATTGCCCTCTGCAACTGTTGCATCCCTTCTGGGGTATCCCCTTGCAGGGAAATGGCGTACACTGTGCGTTCTTCTTAACATCTCAAGTCCTTCATGGTGCTGCATTCTCTTGTCTGCACTGATGGGTTTAATCATTTACAGTGAGAAGCATCAAACCTTCAATTTTTAAGCCACCCATTTTGTTTTTCACCAGAACCTCAGCTTCTATTGACTGCTTAGCAAATTCCTTCTACACTTCACTGCACCAAATATTAGGGGAGAAGTAAATTTTTATGTCAAAAGCATACTAGAAAAAAAAGTCAGAATTCTGGTACATAAAAATTAACCTTTTAGCAACTAACTTGGAGCCAGGCTTAGTAGAACAGAACATTCAGAAGGTTGAGACGGAAGGAATTCAAGGCCCTACCAAAACCAAAAATAAAAGCAGCAACCAACTTGGGAAGAATGTGTACTAACTTGCAGATTTTTTTTTATTACATGCTAACTAAAAAAGAAAAGGGGTTCTTTTTATTTTATTGGATTTGTTCATTTATTGAGTGGGGAGGTGGGTATGGGTAGGGGTATAGGTATGGTTACCAGTGTGACATAGTTGCATGGAGACACCACAGACAACTTAGTTCTATCCTTCTACCATACGTGTAGGCCCCTAGGGATCAAGCTTGCAAGTGTCTTTACCCTGTGAGCAGTCTTGCCTGGCCAGATGAATAAATAGTTTTCTATTAGCAATCATTATGTTCTAGAAAAATTGCTGCATCTACATCCCAACCCAAGAACCTTTTCTCAAACTTAACTACTGCTAATGGATCTTAACAAGTGCTTTCTTTTCTTTCTGTCTGACGGATGGAGGTATTATTGAAACCCAAGCAGACCAGAAACTCACTATATAGCCCAGACTGTCCTCAAACTCTCAACAGAGGTCAACCACTACATCCAGCTATAACCTTTTCTAGCAATTCTATTTCAATTGAGCTAAGTATGGGCCATGCCACAAAGTAAACTGTTGTATTTTAGAGTCTGCTTAACTGTTCAAACAGGAACTCCCTTTAAAGGCATCTAAAGAACAAGTAATCACACACACACACCACAACACACAAATACACACACATATGCACACACATACCTACATATATACACACACATAGATACATGAGTTGGCTTCCTTGTGAGACTCCCTCTCACCTTCTGGAATATTGTACCCTTCTTTATCTCATAAAAACATGCCAACATGGGACTTTTCTGAGTCCACAGGGAAACAATGTCCTGCTCTGATGAACTGAATATAGTAATGACAGAACAGACATCTTCAGACATAGCAGAAATACCCCAATGCATACCACACGCTATACCTCCCCTGCCACACAAGAGCAGCCTCCTCCTGGATGTCAAGAGACTCAGCCCTTCTTTACTCATTCATCTCTTATAGAACATCAAATATCAGAACCTGGAGATTCCCCGTCAATATTTTGTCACCACTCCATCCCTAAGTAAAGCTGGAACAGAGAGAGCTCTCTAAATTAAAGAGCTTAGAATTGAGAAGCACACAGTGATAAGAAAACAGCTCTCTCCTAGGTAATAGTAGCTAGAAGAAACTAACCAGACAGAAAAACTGAATAGCATGGGGAGGAGGCGGGTCAGAGAAGAGATGTATTTTCCACATAAAGGGTATGTATCAAATGTCTTATAGCTCCTGGTTCCATCACCCCTGATGGCAAAGTTGCCATCAATGCATGAAATATGCATGAGGGAACTGCCAAAAGCAGAGCAAACCAGACCAAAGGTTGAGCTGCTCTGAAATGAGGTCCACTAATCACAATACAAGGGAGGGTTTGTTTGACTAGGACTAGGAACTGTCTTCCATTTTCTTCTACTTTCTCTTGCTTATCCATGGTGACAACATGAGATAATCAGGATTCTGGGCTCAAGTCTCAGTTCCACCACTTAACTACTGGATAAGCCCACCTGTCTTGCCTTTGTCCTTTACACGTAAAATTTTATGCTGGATCTTTGTGAGTTCAAGGCCTGTCTCAGAAAACGAAATGAAGAAATTGGGCTATTAAT